ATATAAGTCGGAATAGAATAGCAACGTAGTCTATAGATTAATTTTGTGTACGTCGCAAATACTCCAATACTGGTTCGCACAGAACAGATAGAATGATAAGCAATTAAACATCGTACCTTGTAACTTTTAAAAAAATCATTTACCCTTCGCTAACTGGACAAAACTTTTTGATAGGGGAGATTTATGCAGCAGAGACAAATAGTAATGACAGAACTTTATCCCTTTTAAGATAGGAAAACGACGAAATTGAAAACAAAAATCTAAAAATCTAAAAATCTTAAAATCTAAAAATCTAAACATCTAAAAGCCTTTAAAGAATTTGTTCAGTGGGGACTGTTTTAAACTTTCTACGGAAAACCATAGTTTTTACTGACCCATGGAGGAAGGGGGGGGGGCTTAGCCTTCCTTCCCCCCCCCCCTGTAGATGAAGTGTCCAGTGAAAGAATTAAAACAAGATCTCTGTTCAATCATGCATTTTACGCGTGAGTTTTTATATTGTTTTCAGGCCAATTGTAAAAACCGGGTTCCATGCAAAGATCACTTTCAACCCATGATGCTAAACCGCTGAACTAATCTAAAAAATATCAACAAAATATGGCTCGTCATGATCTTTTGTGCTAATATGTTAAAAGGTCTTTGTCACAAAATCAAATTTTCTAATCCTAATATTTTAGCAACTTGATGGTGCAAACCTTTGATATTTCAAACTGAAATTATTTGAATTCACAGTTTTTAATATCTAAGGTTGCATAAATATAGGGATTAGAAAATTTGAGTTTGTGACATAGACTTAAATCCTTTAGAAGAAGAAGAAAAGATTAACATTTACTGATATCATTTAAAATTACAAACATTTGTTTGAAACTAAAGGAAAACGTTAGGAATATGTTACAAAATGTTATTCTGCTAATAATTTCGAACAAATTTTATAATTTTATTTTTTTGTTGTCGGAACCAAAAATGTGTAGATTTAGAACAATAGATCACATTGAGTAAAAAGTGTGTATTTGCACCTCTAGAGCGGAAACATAATGAGGATACAGTAAGACCTTTAAAACTTTGGTTTTGGTCATGTTTTGAAACAGTCAAACTCAAAAGTGTACACACAACGTATAACGCAAAACGCATGTTTAAGCTAATGAAAAATAAAAATTTCTTTGTTTAAATTCAATCAATATGGAGTTCTAGATTTATTTATTGGAGATAGTTAACGCATGATATTTTCTGTATTATTATGTAAGTGTTTATAGTCAGGTATAGTTATGTAAAGTTTTAGTAAGTTCATAGCTAACAGAGATCAGAATTCCTCATTTTCTTGAAAAGCAATTCCCAAAAATTCCTGATAAATATTAGAAAATTAGTTTAGAAGGACAATATTTTTTTGCTGAAGAAATTATGGAATAAATGAAGTTTCCTTAAAAATTCCAGTGCTGAACAAATATTTAATTAAATATGCACAATAATGACGTAATTTGAACAACGATTACCTTTCTTTATATGGGGGGAATGAAAGCCGAGAAATTGGGTAGCCTGACAATTTTATTGGAGATCAAAATTCTTAGAGCTATATTTTTTTCCCAAATATTTCATAATAATCGGTTTTTATGTGTTTTTACTTTAGAATGAAGAAAAATTTTCTCGTTTACAAATCTCCAAAAGTATTTGAATTTTACCGTTTAATCTACCAGATGAAATTTAAAAAAAAAAAAAAATTTTCAGTAAAAAGATATCCTGTATTATTGAATTTATAATTGAAAGGGCCGCACTGGCGCACTTTTTTTTGGCCGAAATTTTCTTTTATTAAAAAGGAGTAACCAGCAATTTATGGTAGTTGAAACTGCCAATGTAGTATTGCAAAGAAATATTTTAGGATTCATTTGAGACGACATATAAAACGTTTTAAGGATGTATAATTACTGAGTTTGAGCGCAAAGTCAACGTTAAAAATCATCCATTTTGGTGGTTACGTTTTCAGAATCGATGTTTTTTGAATTATTAAATAACGACGACAAAAAATATAAAAAAAATTCTGCACTAAACTAATTAGATGTTTAGGAACATATTTCTAAATTGAAATTTTCTCAATAAATTAATGTTAAAATCAATTATTTCTTTTTTATCATTATTTTGAATTTCTCATTTTTTATGAATTTGTTCGCAGATTTCTTCAAATTATTCAAATACAGTCTTTCCAAAAATAATCTAGGAAATCTACAGAAAATCTTTGTGAATAATGGTACATTACAGAAACCAATAACTGAATATAATTTCTTATTTTCGATGATACTAGTTAATTTTATTTTCTCAACTTGTTCCTAAACATTCTATAAGTTTACTGTAGAATTTTTACTACATTTTTTCGTCGTCTTTATTGAACAATTTTGAAAACCCGATACAAAAATGAACAATCTATGAGGATTTTAACCCTAACTGGCCTGGGGGGGGGATGAATTTGCGCTCTTGCTGAACAAATATGCACCGTAAAGAATTCTCATAGGTCTCAAATGATTCCTAAAAATGTCCTCACAATCAATCCTACATTCACAGTTCAACTACCATACATTGCCGGTCACTCCCTTTAAAGAAAAAGTTCTCTGTTAAACTAGATCGTAGATTCCAAATCTTTCTAAACTGAAATCAAATTCATTCATTGATATTTTTATTCAACTACAAAGCATGAGATATTACAAATAAGCAATCACTATTTACTATGCAGTTTGGACCCGCCTAACCAGGTTGTTTGAATGGTTGGCCCGAAGTTAATTAAAATTTATATTTCAGTACCAGTCTCCAAAGTTAAATGTTTGCTCTGATCAAAGATGTTAACCTAAACGATTTTTCTAAACGGAAAATGTGTGTGTAAAAACAAACTTGTCTAGCATATAATTTTATATCGCGGATTCTTATGTAGCTTTGAAAAACTAAAAACTTTGAACGATTAAAAACAGGCCTCACACCAATGGACATTCTTAATGTAGAGGAAAATTTTGTAAATGATTATTAAGGGGGTGATGTATAGGAATATTTAGAAAAATAGAAAAGATAGTATACTTGCGGAGAACGGAAATTTTATAAGGTTGAGAGATAAGATGTCAAAATATTATGTAAACAGGATTTATTGACCCCCCCCCCCTTCTCCAGCCTTACCCCAGTCATTTCATTTAAAAACAAAATGTATCAATTCATGAAATGCAAACTTCTAAACCAAGTCAGGATTTTTTAAAGGTTCCTTAAAAAGGAAGCATTTATCAAGTTCTTTGCAGCGTTGAAATTTCCATTTTCAGTGTTACAAAAAAATAACGTTCTGGAAAAAGTCAAACTATGGCAACAGGCCCACAACACGTGACAATAATGCACTGCCATTGGTGGGAGTTCTGTTCACGTGAAACGAACGAATTACTTATTTTATCAATTATAGCTATAAAAAATGAAAAATTATTAAATTCTAATCATAAAAGGAGTAAACCTTAGTTTTTCAAGCTTCTCTGGGATATCGTCGTTTTCAGATTGTTTGCGTATTTGCTGAATATAATCTGTTTATTCCAAATCTTTTATGCTTTGGTATAGTTTTGACACAGTTTTATACCGATTTCCCGAGACAGGACCATATAAGATGGAACTCTTATAGGTCTTAATCAGTTCCTGAGATTCTCAGGTTTCAGCCCCCTTTCATGTTTCCTTTACAGTCCCTTTAACTAACATTTACGTCATGTGAAATCTAGATTTAGTTTTTCCTAACTTCTATGTTATGATTTAGAAAATTTCTTATCAGTTTATTTTCTGCTTAGTCGAAGAAAATAAAATTTGCTGAACCATTTATCTTTGCAACCCAATGGCATAGACCTTACATATTTCAAACTATGAATTTTGTTAGATCAAATAATCATAGATTTAAAATAGCAAAGGTTTACACCATCGGATTGCAAAGATCTATGGACTAGAAAATTAGAGTTTGTTGCAAAGACTTAATTCCTTGCTAATTAGATGTTTATTACATATTAGTAGTTTACAAATAATCTACAAAATCTTTATAAGGGAAATTAATTATATATCTACACAACATTATAATCTTTATAAGGGACATTAATTATATATCTACACAACATTATAATCTTTATAAGGGACATTAATTATATATTTACACAACATTATAATCTTTATAAGGGACATTAATTATATATTTACACAACATTATAATCTTTATAAGGGACATTAATTATATATCTACACAACATTATAATCTTTATAAGGGACATTAATTATATATCTACACAACATTATAATCTTTATAAGGGACATTAATTATATATCTACACAACATTATGATCGGAAAACATTCTTGGCTTTTTCATTAGTTTTTCTGATTGGTAATATTCAAATTAATGGATGTGTTTTCAATTGATAAAACTAAAGAAAAAAAATATTATTAGAGAAACATTTTTGTGATTCATGTGTTCCAAAATAAAGTGATTAGGGATAGAATCATTTAAATGAAAGTAGTACGTTTTTAAGCTAATTTTTGACCTGTCATTTCTCATTTTAGCGCGCGCAGTGTAAAAGAATATGGCCAAAATTATCATCCTTAATTTTCAATTTTTGACAAAAATCTAACTCCAAAACCTGGTTTACGAAATTTAGATATTCATAAATGAAGTTAACAACTGTTACCTTAAAATGAAATAGCTTTTATTGCTCATAAACTAGAACCTTGGACATATTTTGAAATGGATGGATGAAATGAAGACAGATGTATTTAGAACAAAAGGTTCTTTTTGCTAAAAACTTGAGAGGTTATATTATTATTCGATCTAATGATTATATCAATGCATAAAAAGTACAGGACTTTTCAATCGGTTCAAATCATTTAAACTTTGTCCCGTTTTGGTCTCCTTAGCCTGTATGTACTTTACTCAACTTGATGCACCTTTGGCGTACTGTCCCGTTTTGGTCTCCTTAGCCTGTATGTACCGTACTCAACTTGATGCACCTTCTTAAAAACGATGTTAGGTACTTTCCAAAGGGCTTTTTCCCAATTGTGGCAGCTTCCAAATGGTGGCAACTTCCTAACTGTGCAATTTTTTAACCGGTAACTTCCCAAGTATGTCCTAGCCGCAGCGCTCGGCCCCATAGCCTGTATTAGTCATAGCCCTCGGCCCCATAGCCTGTTCTAGTCATAGCCCTCGGCCCCCTAGCCTGTTCTAGTCACAGAGCTTGGTTTGTTAGCCCATCCTAGCCGCAGCGTCCAGCCTGCGGCGCCTCAGAAAGTTGCCACTTGGGAAATTGTCACTTGGGAAGTCCCCCCCGGGGAAAGGCCTTTGAGTAGATTTTTAGTGTAGAAGTTTTATTATGAAATTAATCTATAAAGTTTAATGATTCCTAGGTGCTGCCGGAGTTCTGATTGGCTACCCCTTGGACACTGTTAAAGTTAAAATCCAAACCCAAGATCCCACAAAGGGTCTTCAATACAGAGGAACTTTCCACTGCCTCTCCGAGATATTTAAACATGAAGGGGTAGGTTATCTTCAAACTTGAACTTGCAGTGCTTTAATTGCAAGTTGGGGTTGATCAGTTTAAGTTATGTCACTTTTGGTTAAAATTACAATATTTTTGCTGTAATAAATGTATTATTTGCTTTGTTTGTATTTTAATCTGTTTAATTACATAATTTCATAAGTTATGATAAATTTTAAACATTAAACATTTAACATGCATATTTTGGCATGCAGGGTATTGAAACAACTCAAAGTTATATAGACACCAAAAACGCCTTCAATACACTATCCTCCAAATCACGCGGGACAGATTAGGTTTAAAGTTATTTCTGAACTATGTGTTTTGTCCAGGTAAAAGGATTATACAGAGGCATGTCTTCTCCATTGGCTGGAGTAGCCGGCATCAACGCAATCACATTTGGTGTTTACGGAAACGTTCTTCGACAAATGAACGATCCAGATTCGGTTAAATCAGTTGCTTTAGCTGGTTCAACGGCAGGCTTGGTTCAGGTACTAGAACTTTCTAAATTTTCGTACATAAGTAAATAAAATTTAGTGTGCTGATGCTTTTTATTGGGTGTTCTGATAAAAATGCATGTTTCGCTAAATAAATTTATGTCCTTTGCTAGCTGATCAAGCATTAAAATGGAATGTGCTCTTTTACTCCTATTTTTTTTGCAGATTGTTCCAGCCTGGATTAATTAAACTTTATTTAACACACATGAAACAAGAAACTAACCAAGCTTAAAATAATATTTACTTCCATGAATACCTTTATTCAGGAACTGCTGGGGGAGAGCACCAGATCATTTTATTCATCTGAAAGCTACTGAATCGGTGGCAGATTGTATACTCTTAAAAAATCATGTTTATACACCTTTTTTACGAGAATGCATTTTTTCAAATTTCATTTTTATTAATCATTATAATATTTCTCAGGTGGTGGAACTGCTGAGGAACATCTTTAGTTTGGATCATCTTTAAACCTGCGGTTCCTTGGACCCGCTCTAAGCGGATCCAGGTAGAACGGGGTAGGCAAAAATAATTTTTTGAGCTTCAGTAAAAATTCCTCTTTAAATCCGAAAATATGGTTGACAGGAGTTACTCAGAAGCAACTGTTAGTATCATATTTTAACTGCCTGAATTAGGGCATTACTTTGTCAGCCAGTTGACCTTATTTTCGCGATTATTTTATAAGATCATGCCTTCGGTGCTAGGTGACATTAGAGCACTGTGAGCTACCCGAACGCAAGCTAGATGAGACTATACCATCGTAAGCACGTGCACAAGAGGAGATTTTTATCTGCAATTCATTGGATTTTGATTAAAAGAATTGTCAAATGTATTAATTCAGACGCTTATTGTGTCGCCAATGGAGCTTGTGAAAACTCAGATGCAAGTAGGAGGGGAAACCAGCATTTCTGGAACCCTCAAACATATTTATCAAGCTGCTGGGGCTTCTGGTCTTGCTAGAGGAATGGGAATAACTTTCACAAGAGAGGTTCCTGCGTTTGGAATCTACTTTGGTGCTTATGAAATCATGATCAGGTAGAGTCAAGCTTATCTACAGTTGCTGTGCTTTCAAAACCAACATATTTGATGTCTACATACAGAGCCCGCGATTTAAAAGCTTCTACTTGAGCCTAATTTCCTAAGGGTCAGGTTTAAGGTTTTTTTTAGACCCAACCCCACTTTAGAACCAGCTGCCAGCTCTTATAGACTCGACTCGACAATTCCAACCATGAAAATCCGTCACATACAATATATTAAACCGGTTTAATCCGTCACATACAATATATTAAACCGGTTTAATCCGTCACATACAATATATTAAACCGGTTTAATAAACTTAACTTTGTTAAAAGCTTTGATCTCAAAGCTAAAGGAGTGTAGGAAGGAAGGCAGCCATAAGCCACAACATTTTTACCTTCCATGCCACATTTTAGCTTTTTTGTTTTCCGGCAGCCATGAGCCACAACCGTACGTTCTTCCATGCCACATCATTTGAGTCTTCTGGCAGTTATAACTTTTAAATAATAAATTTAGTGCACTGAAATTATGATTTTAAAAATCCATTGACGTCATGCAAAAGATTCATATAAAGAACTTTATGTTTAACTTTTAAATTGAAATATTGACTAATTTATCTAATGTGAACTGCTTAACTTATTTTTCTAAACCATAAATTCCATCTTTCCTCTAAAATGGCTAATTTTTGAAAATATTATGAACAATAAAAATGATGCACCATGTGACCATGTCCATATCATACTCTTAAAGTTCAAAAATGTGCACAAATTAAAGAGAAAATTGCAAAATACAATTTTTTTTGAGGACATCTGTAACGCTTAGGTAATAACAGTTAATATTGTGATTTTTCTCATCTTTTCTTATTCTTTATACTATACCCCAAACAATTTGTCTTGGTGCCCACAGGGCCACAATGCGTAAAATGATGTAAAATTTTCTTTTGTATTATGTAAAGCAGTTACAAAACTGAACACGCAATTCATTGATCTTTAATAAACTTCTAAAACTTCTTAAAGGTATCACTATCGTGTAATGTGGCAGGATTTTTAAAATTTTTCAATGCCCTTATCATTTAAAAACGTAATAACTGCCTGAAGACTCAGATGCTGTGGCATGGAAGACCGTACTGTTGTGGCTCATGGCTGCCGGAAGACAAAAAAGATAATATGTGGCATGGAAGGGGAAAATGTTGTGGCTTATGGCCGCCTGCCTTCTCCCGCTCACTGGGGTCTTAAATTAGGCTTAATGGCAGCTTAGACCTAATAATTTTCCCAATTTTATCAAATCATAGGCTCAGGAACAATACAAAATGGCTGCTAAATTATGTATAAAGACTAAAGTAGTATGTATTTAATATATACGGTATAACTTCCTCTAAATTTATATAATAACTGTGTTTAGAGAGTTTGGAGAGAGCACTATGGTGATCCTAGCAGCTGGTGGAATGGCTGGTGTTCTATCCTGGGTCTTCACCTACCCACAGGAACCATTTTCAAATATTCAGTTACATATCTCTTTCAATTACATAAATATCCTTCATCAAGGTTTTCATTAAGGAAAAAACCAGAGCAGGTTTTATTATCGGTCAAATCTATAAAAAAGCGTTAGCAAAGGCGGACCAGATTTATTCCAGTTTTTAGATATTAATCTTGAACTGGTTTGTTTTCTTTAACCAAGGTATGTCAATGTATTATATTTGAACTGGTTTGATCAGGATGTGATAAAGTCTCGACTCCAAGCAGATGGGTTTGGTGCAAAACAAAAGTACTCAGGAGTAATGAGTTGTTTAAAGGTAAACGTCATTTTTCAAACCAACCTTTAAGATAACATAAACACAAACTGAGATTGCATTTTTGCTGATAAAGGGTAGGGGGGAAAAAGAAATGTACCAGTACAGCAGGGTTCAAGCTATGCGGGAGTATACTTTTAAAGGGACTGTAAGCGTAATTTCAAGTGACCCTCCATACAAAGATGGCAATGGCCGATTTACAACAGCAAGCCCTTAAAAAGCTTTTACTAATCGATGAAGTATGAATTTGAAATTTATGTTTTAGTTTCTGTTTTTTTCTTCATTCTCTGTGGAAAGATGACTTGCGCATGTCTTGCTTTTAAGAAGCCATGGAGAAATTAAACACTTGTCGAGTTGGTATCTGACACATTTTTTATCAGATTAGGGTACCGTCGTAAATCGGCCATTGCCATCTTTGCATTGAGGGATCACTTGAATTCAAGCTTAAGTAAAAATAATACTTTGGAAACATTACTTAATATCATGGCCACTTGCTGTATTAAATAATCTAAAAGTTATCAAGTTTTAACCTTTATAGATGAGTTTGGCTCGGGAGGGTCATCAGTTCCTATCTCGTGGTCTGGTATCTACCGTCATACGAGCCTTCCCCATGAACGCTGCCACGTTCTTCGTCTACAGCCTTGTTATGAAGACCTTCACCACCTTGAACGAGAAGGCGGATGAGGTGTATGACACCCTTAAGAGCTTGAAGGGTAGTGCTGAGAAGTTTAGTAGGATAGAGAGAGTTCCGAACACGTGGAGCAAGAAGAAAAGAGATCAACGCCTGGCAACTGTAACTACTGATATGCCTAATATTCTCCTTGTCAAGGAACAAGCAACAAATATTGCCCAGGTATTATAAATCCACACTCACTTTTCAGTTATAATTAAAAAGATATCTCCATCATCGACGATCAGACAAAGGGTTAAGAGAACCGTCGTGTTAGTATAGGAAAAAGTATAAAAATGTTTAATTTTAAATTTATTTAGTGGAGACTTCACCCCGAAAGAATACTCTACGCTTGTCCAACTGTACATGAGGATTTTGTCACAACAGAATCAAATCTTAACTTCAGGTAAACAGCAAAAAACAGGGGGTAACCACTCACAAGACCCCCCCCCCTCCCCTCTAGAAACCAGGCAAATTACATTTCCAAGAATGCAGAACGAATAAACTAAGCCCCTGTTAAGTTTAAAATAATGTTAATAAGAATTTCCAAATTACTACTAACTGTATAAACTCAACAAATTTACAACCAAGGAAGGAGTTTAAACACTTTAATCTAGAACGCATCTGTAAGGTGGAACTTGTAAAACTATGGAATAGGAAGACGACAACGAAGTAAATTAAATAATTATTTTAGGAACAATTTCAACCAATTCAACCAATACTGGATTGAGGAGGAGTCCATGGAAGTAGTCCCAACAATAAAGAGAGTGGAAGAGGACAGGTAGGATTTTCCCAAATACTCCAACTTTAAGAATATCAATAGAGACGCACAATAAAACTAGATTTATTTATGTAAGGCACGGTATACTAAAGGTCCTTGGCACAGTATACTAAAGGTCCTTGGCATGGTATACTAAAGATCATTGGCACGGTATACTAAAGGTCCTTGGCACGGTATACTCAAGGTCCTGGTATTAAGTCCAGCGAGTCTCAACTTCAGAACCAATTTTAACTCTTTTAAATGTAGAGTTTTCGTTTTTTCACTTTTATTCTTTTTTGGTGGTCTTTTACTAGCAAATACTAAAGTCTTGAATGAGAGGTCAAAAAATAACTGAAAACAGACAGGATCCACTTAGTTGTAGTTAGTTCTATGTGGGATATTATGTTCTTTAAAGCCAAATTTCTCGGTACAAAAAAACTTTTTTGTTCATCTTGTAAAATTTTTGGTTTCACGCTTAAAAAAATGGAAAAAAGAATTGTAAATGTAATTCAAACAAATTGACTCCGGAATTTTAAAGTTTCTTGAAGAATTTACCTTTGTCTAATCTACAAAAGGAACATGTTTGCCGTTTTCCTAAACTCATTATTATGAATACATTGGAGAATATTTAAAATGTCGTCTTTATCAATTTTCACTTGATTATGCCGCTTAGAGTTATATGATGTGTAGCGCCCAACCATATTGTCGAGTATTTCAGGGCTATTTGATATTTATTTATCTATACAAAAAATAAATCTAGAAAACTTTCATAACCGATAAAAACTTTAGCATCTTGGGAAAATACAACTGGCAGCTTCAAATTCAAATTCCAGACGACATTATCTAAATTCTTCCGATGTATTCATATTAATAAGTTTAAAACTGTATTGTAAAACGTGTTGAAGTCAATTGAGAAACCACAATCGAAAATTATCAATTTTTCGCTGAAAAAGGCAAGTCGGCCTCTTTAATTGAATCCACTTGAAAATACGTTTACAGTCCCTATACATGCAGTGTAAACTTTAAATAAATTAACTTTAATTAACTATAATTTTTAAAAAAAGAAAAATTATCTTTTATTCTAGACCCTCCCTGCTGACCGATGAGCAGGAGGCCTGCTGGAAAACTAAAATACGTACCTCCGACTTCTTGCTGCCGACCAACCTACTCGCTAACAGCCAACTGGGCAGAATATACGGATTCTATTATATTGTCGCATAGAACAAACTGGCCAAACATCTACTATTGGCCAGAACAGAATATAGGCTTGGCCAACACAGAATATATACATCGTAAATAATTTTGGCCGGTTAGGTCTTTTTAATGTAAGAAAACGAAAACTAAATTTTTACATTATATAATTGTTAGCTTAAGACATACAGTGGGCCCATTAACAATATGTAATAAGAACACGACATTTAATCAATGTATAATGGATATTGATAATTGATATTTTTATCAGTGGCTTGAAAATCAACTTTTAGATTAAATGGGTCTGTGAACATTGCACAATTTATTTTCATGTTCATTGGACAATTTAAATTCATTACTTGAGACGTACAGTCGTCTTACTTTTCCTCAGTTGTATGGGTTCCACTGCATTATCTCATCCAAGTTTAAGCATTCACTTTACAAAAAAAGTCTAAGTGATAGATAGGCTATATAAGGCTATTGAAGCCTTATATAGATAGAAAAAGCATGAAAAGTTGAAACTTGTAAGAAAAAATAATTTATAAAATTAAAACATTATTTTATTAATGCCTAGCAGTAGTATTTTGTGTAGTTCATATTTGCAGGATAAAATTTATATATATGTATATATGAAATATATATTTTATAGATTGGGAAGTTTATACATATATGTAGATATATCCTACATTTTTATAAATATATATTCCACTTAGTAATTAAATATTGTGTTAAATTAATGTATAAGTTTATCTAACTATTTTAATGTTATTACAAGAATTTCATAAAAATTCAACAAAATCTGTGATATTTAAAGTAAATAAAATATTGTTGTTTACAAATGTAGCACTAAAATCCAGACATAAGGAAAATGTCAAGTCTATGGATAATTATTGTACGACTTCGTGACCTCGTAGCTCAATTGCAGTTCTTATTTTACGTAAATTGATTGGAAGGATATTAGATTTAGATCAAACGGAAAATTTATTTTTATTTAACGTAGTAAGTGCTATTTTTATTTACATATGGTCATATCATGTTACAATGATAATAATAATGATAATGATGATAATAATAACAATAGTAATAATATTATTAAGTTTCAGACGAAATGCTGATTTTTCGTTAAAGAATTTTATAAACAACATTTTTAACTATTTATTTCAAACGACATTTTTTCTTAAAACAACAATAGTTAAAGTTTTTTTTAAATATTTTTTACTTTTTACCTAAAGTTGTTCAGTTTTGGTAAACAAAAAAACAAAAAGTGAAATATACAAATTTTAAGACTATAAAGACGACCTAAAACTTTACGATTCCATCTGGAGATGAAATGTGGTCCTCTCTGCCTGGTAAAGTTAATGATTTGGTACAATAACTTCAAGACTTAGTACGAAGGGTTCCATTAGGTAAACAAGGGATGGGGGGCATGCGGAGCCATATATCTATTACATTTAAGATTTCCGGTTTAATCCGTCACATACAATATATTAAACCGGTTTAATAAACTTAACTTTGTTAAAAGCTTTGATCTCAAAGCTAAAGGAGTGTAGGAAGGTAAATAGATAACGATGGGGACGAGAAGTTTTCTTTAATTATCTTATTTTAAACGATGCCCGTTCCTAAGTTCCTAACAATGGCGTAAAATCTAGAAGAAAATTGTCTAAATAAGATAGATGTAATTTCAAGTGACCCTCCAGTGTACATTTCAAACCTTTGATTGATTGAAAATGAAAGTAACTTGAAATTATATCTACAGAGTAGAATGGGGAAATGTTAAACACCTATTATTTAAATCTAAGGTAATTACAGTTTAGTTACTATTTACAATAATATATTAGTTATATTTCTACGTCAGCTGCTTCTTCTCTTTTTCGTTTAATGTTGGCATCCGTTTTTTACTAAACAAATCGGTCTAATTATTGACTTTATTTTAATGTATTTAATATTTCTTGTAAATTCATACTTTTGTTTATATGCATTTACATACAAACAATGAAACATCACAACACATATTTTAAGTAAAAGTTATAGTTTTTGAAGTAAAAAATATTAAATGTTTTGAAAAATTTTCGGCCTAAATCTAAAAAAATCCAATGTTGAAAATATTTAAAAATTGTTAAATAGGCTTTGATTTATTTACTAAACTACCCAAAATAAAACTCATTCTCTTCCATTTTTGAAATAAAAAACCTTTTTTTTGTTCTGAAAGGATTTCCTTTTATAAAATGAGAATTCTGTAGAATTAGATCAAATGGAAATACTCTCACCTCAAATCATCTGAAAATGGGAAATATAATTAAAATAAAAATGTCATGAGAAGACCAAATAAACATGAAAAATGTTATGAAAAGACCAAATAAACATGAAAAATGTTATGAATAGACCAAATAAAAATGAAAAATGTTATGAATAGACCAAATAAACATGAAAAATGTTATAAATAGACCAATTAAACATGAGAAATGTTATGAATAGACCAAATAAACATGAAAAATGTTGTGAAAAGACCAAATAAACATGAAAAATGTTATGAAAAGACCAAATAAACATGAAAATGTTATGAAAAGACCAAATAATCATGAAAAATGTTATGAAAAGACCTTAAATAAACATGAAAAATGTTATGAAAAGACCAAATAAACATGAAAAATGTTATGAATAGACCAAATAAACATAAAAAATGTTATGAAAAGACCTAATAAACATGAAAAATGTTATGAAAAGACCTTAAATAAACATGAAAAATGTTATGAAAAGACCAAATAAACATGAAAAATGTTATGAAAGACCAAATAAACATGAAAAATGTTATGAAAAGACCAGATAAAGATGCTATTTATTAGTTTTTTGGAGTTTCATGTCTGATTTAAACAAAACTTTAATTGGGATAGAATAAGATATTTTTATTTTTCTAGCTTGAAAAGTAAAAAAAATTGAAAGAATTAAAACTTCCAAACCTAGTTCAGCTTTTAAAGGGACCGTTCACTTATTTGGGTAATTTCAGGGTAAACTGAACTGCCTATTCGCTCTTGATTGGTAATAGTCTTACTTTTCAAAGACAACTGTGACCGGAGAAAAAGCCGATTTTTCGTTCAGAATTTGAGCGGAAAGGGACGGTCCCTCTCTATAGACACTATTTGATGTTTTTTTTCAGTAACAGCAGCCCAATAACATTTAAATTTATCATATTTTAATGTCATTATGTGTTCGTTATTATGTACTAAAATATTAAAGCTTTTGATATTTGAGTTAGCAAGAAATTAACGTTTTTCGTATTAAAACACGTAAACTGTGTATACAAAGACGACGTCTCTACGACAATCAATTAATCATTACTCGTATTTTGGTTCGTAGATTTTGTAGATTTTGTTCGCGTATGTGCACAACTTTTCATTTGTCATGCCGCGTTCAATTCAGCTTTTACACAGGCAATACACAATTTTGAATGCGATAAAATAGTGTTATTTTAGAAATAGAAAGTTAAAAAACAACAAAAATTAAAAAATAATGACATTTACAATTAACGATTAGATACTACAGTTTAATTTTATATTCGAAATTTATTTTGATTCACAACATACTGAAAAAAAACATCAATTAGTGTCTATAGAGAGGGACCGTCCCTTTGCGCTCGAATTCTGAACGAAAAACCGGCTTTTTCTCCGGCCACAGTTGTCTTTGAAAAGTAAGACTATTACCAATCAAGAGCGAATAGACAGTTCAGTTTACCCTGAAATTATCCAAATAAGTGAACGGTCCCTTTAATAAAATCCAATTAATATCACGCATCCAAATTTTCAGGAATTTCATTTTGAAATCTTTTTTTCTAAATTATAATTTTCGCTGCTCCCTTTCAGAAAAATTAAAAATTAAAAATCTGTTTTTTTATCAACTTATATTTCCCTTTTCCTAGAGACTTCTGCATGTCCGATATAGAAGGATGGTGAGAATCTGCAGTACAGTAAAATGTAAACAAAGAACTGGTTTTTGTAGAATAAAATTATTTTGAATATATTACGTTATTTCTTGCATGGTATCGAAATTATAGAAATGTAATTGATTCCACGCTAAGTTGAATTCTTATGGAGATTACATGTTTACAAAAATAAAATAATAATAATTTGTATATTATTTCAATTTCTAGGTTTATTATATCAATTTAGTTTATCTTTTATTTTTAGAAACAATTATATTTACATTATGGAAGAGTTTTCTTTTTATTATTTTCGGGATAAATTTTAGATAATTTATTAATAGTGTTTTTTTGGTTTTAATCAGCGAAATTTATTCTTGAAATATTCTCGTTTGATTTGTGTGGAAAGTTGTTTTATTGGTATTTTTCACCAAATATTTAAAGAATTATTATCTCCATTTTTAAATGGTACCTTTAAATAAATTTTCTAATCCAATTATATCTTTACAACCGGGCTGTGTAAACCTTTGATATATAAATTTGTAATAAACATCAAAATTTAAATCGAAAGTCGTCTTCATTGTATTGATAATACAAAACTGTACATAAACTTGTTTATCTATATTTTCCTCGCTGGTAATCGGTTAAACTGGGACGACTCTCAATATCTTCACTCTAAAAACAGAAAAGTTAACGTTTTGTTTCAAGTTTTCTATATCTTAATTTTTACAAGAATTTACATATTGAGGAACTGGACGGTATTCTTAGTGATGTACATTAAACAAGTATGGTATGTTCTATTTACTTTTTAAGGCATAGTCTAATTAAGAATGAATGAAATATTCATTATTTTGCTTTAACGAATGTATTTTTTTCAATTGTGGGTTCTCTTCGAAAGTAAATTGCGAATTTCTTGCGACATACACATGTAAACAATTGGGGAAATTATGAGTATTAAACAACTTTGAAGCTAGACTTTCTTAACGATATCTTCCACATTATTGATCAGATAAAGATGAACTCAGTGCAGTTTCCAAGTTATACTTCTTAAAATTAGTTAAGGTTTGGTATGTCACATTCACAATGGTAGCCTTGAAAATCACGATGATATCGTTGTTTTTCTATCTCAGATTCTGACAATTTCCAATGCATATCTTTGCAGAAATTCCCAAGTTACTTTAAAAAGAAACCACTGTAAAAATATTAATTGGTTTAGTTAGTGCAAAATACAAAGAGAATAGAATATATATTAGAGGGGAATTTAAAGAATCTCTCGGTATGAATTTTTTCAGTCCCTTTCAGCCTAAAAGGGAGTTCAAAGTGTACAAATCATGCAAATGTTCACAAATTATATGCAGTAGAGTACATTAATACAGTATGCTCCCTAGACTATCCATTTCAATTTCGAAATTTTTAAAGCTGTTAAATAAACTTTATATGAATTAGATAAATAAAAAACATAATTTGATTTATAGTTATATCGGAAAATCATCGTTTGTAAAGTGAAAGGCAAAGAGTCTATGTGAAATGATCATTGGTCAATTATGAAACCAGCCTATTTCATAATTTGGTTCATATAATTTTAGATTTTCTATAAAATGATATTCCAGGGCCCAAAAGGTTATATAGCATAAATATGTGAAGTACACCTGCAGTATGGAAGCAGTACAACAAAATGGCCGTTTTACACTTTTTTCTAGTAAATTCCCCTCTAATATATTATCTATTCTCTTTGGTAAAATATCATTGTTATTTAAACAAAGGTACCTTCTGAATTGCAAAGGAAGGGTGACATGAAATTACATAAACAGTTTTCTTATTTATCTTGAGCTCTGTTTACTTTAAATGGAAAATTGTTCTCAGAAAAAAAATGCACAAGAGCCAAATATTTTCTAGTCGGGCTATTACCATGAGAATAGAATACCGTTAAAAATTTATTTGATAGATTATAAAAGAATGAAATTTAAAAAGCTACAGATTGAAAAGAATTGAAGAAATGAATTTGAATTAGAAGGTTGTACCACAGCACAGAACTAAAACATTTGTTGTTTATGCTACATCTTCATAAAATTGTAAACTTAAACGTATTTTTTTAATATATTTACACCGAGACAAGCACACACATTAATAAGGAAATTGTAGTCGTTCACTTTCTTGGTTCAGGAATAAACCGCAGGCTGCAATTGAGAATTACCAATTTTAAGATGGGAAAATAGTGAAATCTCCGTCATAATTGAACTGAAAAATAGGTGCAAAGGAAACCGTTGCAATTTTTCAATAGAAAATACGTTGGAATTCTATTTTAACGAGTAAAAAAAATCAGAAAATCAATTCTTATATTTACCTGAAGATTAGCCAAACTCAACAGTAGTTCGTCTTATCAACAATTATTATTAATTAAAATAAATCAAAATAAATTAAAATAAATTAAAATGAATTTAAATAATCCTTTTATTTATAAAGGGTTATCCAAAAAAGATGAGACTTTAGTGATGATTGTACCGAATTTATCTGTTTGTTTTCTCATATTTATGATTCCTTGAAACTGTAAACTTGTTTCTTTCTTTGCCTTTTCATTGACTTTGCTATAAAAATATCATATTCAAGGCAGAACTACTTAATTCAACCTTTAAGTCGCCAAATTTCAAGAGTTTTAGGTTGTTTTCATAGTCTCATCTTTTATGGATAACCTTGTATTGTTTTAATAGTCTCATCTTTTATGGGTTGTCTCAGAAAATGAGAAAGATATATGAATTGGAGATGAAGGTATTTTGGAAGTTGAGTTGGGGAGGGTAGTTTGAGATGGTAGGATATATATATAACCAGAAATATAACCATTTAACCAGCAATATGATGTTCTCTCTCTCTAATGAATCGATGTGGTTGCAAATTAAAGAAGTATATTGATCAGATCTGGTCACATAAAGAATATAGGGTTCTTTGCACTCGCTTTGACCGCGAGGGTGGTACGCGGGTCGAACAGTTCTTTTCTTCTTTGTAGGAGTTACATCTTGAATCCTTTCTCTTTACTGGTTCTATATCGGCTGTGTTTAGCGTGCTTTTTGCAGATTGCCAAATTCAGGGCAAATTTAAAGATAGTAATATTTGACAATATAAACACTTTTAGGCTTAAAAAAGATATAAAAGTGAAAACATGAAAACATATTAACAACTTTTGTTTCAAGGGATCTAAACACCCCTTTAGCTAGGCAGCATAATACTGCACAAAATATTCACACAGGCTGGTTTTTTGCACAGGCTTATTTCTTTCTAATACTTCTAAAATTCATATTTTCTTGTCCATTGTCATTTGTCATAAATAAAGCATGATATAAAAAGTTTATAGTGTCGTAACTTTTACATAAAATCCAAACTATTGGGATCCCAAACGATTATCATAAATTTCCACAGAAATCAAATAATTGATCATTATTTTTAATGATCACTCAATACACTTTTGGTCCTTATATTTTGCAGTTTTAACAATTCCGAGAGTTAAGAAATCGAAATGGGAAATGATAAATATAAAAAGCCAATATCAGTTTTTGAGAATGAATATTGTATTTTATAGTTTCATATATAGGAACTGTAGATGAAATTCAAAGTGTTACATAAATTAGTTTGTCCGATTTACAACGGTACCCATTCAACCCTTTGTATGAGTAAAATGCTATGATGTTCTAAATATTATAACTTAAATTTCAGATTGTTTAACTGTTTCTGCTATAAAAGTAACTTGCGGATTTCTGCATTAGAAACAAGAAAGGAAATTGACATAACTAAAATAGAAAAATAAAGATATTTCCTCATTGTTGCTTAGATTTAGACATGAAGGGTACCATTGTAAATCAGGTAGGGCACTCTTTAGCTTTAGTTCCACCGATTCATAAATTATTTTGTTTTTATTAAAATCTACAACTCTCTGAGCAGCTGTATTGCAAAGAATGGAAACAATTGGAAACCTGTAAAATATTTCAGAAACATTGATTTTGTCCAGCTAACTTTAACCTGGGGGGTGCATGGAAGGGGGGGGGGGCACAACAACTCACTATTGGTTTAAAGGTATACAAACTTTTTAAAAAGGGGGTTAAATGACACCAAAAATCAAAATAGAAATATACTATTTTTTTTCGTTTCTCAAAGTATAGTTTGAGATAAAAATATTAAATAATAATTTATTGATTTCGCTAATAAATGATAATTGTTAGATTGCCTGACATCCCAGATTTATTCTCGCCCCTTCTATCCCTGCATACAAATAGTGCTTTTAAAGGGACCGTTCGCGGAATTAGGTTTAAATGGGAATAATTCTATTCAAGTCTTGTTTCTGGGATTTGATCATCTTTTTGAAAATATAAATATTTTTTTGGAATTCAAAATAAAAATTTAATAAAAATTTTGGACCACAATTTTTAAAATTGACACTTAATTCCAAATATTGGACACCAATTTTTGGACTTGGCAGTAAAATACAATTGTTGTACCCCAATTTTTTATTTTGGCAATTAATTAAAGACACATGTTGGACCCCAATTTTTGATATTGACAATTAAAGACAATACCTGGACACCAATTTTTTAATTGGACAATTGATTTAATTTTTTTTCAATGTAAAAATGTTATGAATATCATAAACATAAGATTTCACATTGCAAGAAAAGTGATAAGATACAGGGTTGTTAATAACACAATAGATCCGACCATAGAAACCAATCAACAAATATATTAAGTATTTTTTCCGACATTAATGGGTTCCCTATGTATCTTCCTGGAAGGGGCCGATTCACTTGGTGTACGGTCTCGATTGCCGTATATAGTCATATATGTACTGTACAACTCACTAAATCTGCTAAAAAGTCGGACAAGTACTTGAAAAGAACCGGAGTTTACAGTGTGCTGTTAAATATCAACTCTCTCAGCTCGTTTTATCATAAAAATGTTGAGGTTCCCATACAAGTCTCAACTTTTGTGTTTAACCCTGAATGTGAATGATATAAGGTATATAACCTGCTTGCCAATGATATTCTGTTCAATATTGGAAATTCTTATTCAAGAATGAGGGATGTTTATATTTCCTATAAAAAATCCATCCTCCATGCACTTTATACAGTGGTACAGCTTGGTTGGCGTCTATATCAATACAATATTTCTCTTCAGGTTTTGACTTCCAACAAGCCTTTTTTCAAGTTACAAGTTTACATATGAACATTAAAATAATCTGTTAATTGACAGATTCTCTTTGATTTCATTTTTATGAGTATCCAAGCTGTTTAAGATCTTGGGAGAAATCAAAGAACTAGAAAGTCGTCTTTCTTATTTTAATATATCCGACGATGACCGTATGTAGGGTGTCCCAATAAACATGGAAGAAAATGACGACATTTGAATTTTCTAAAATAAATAATTAAATTTTGTGATATTTCCTAATTTTTACATTGTGGTATTTGTTTTTAAGAATGAAAGGTTTTAAAAATTAGGCCATTTTTTTTATTTTGATTCTGCAGGATATTCCATTTCTTCGTTGAAGCGTAGGCCATCGGAGGGAAAAATTTGGAGGGAATGAACATTTTAAATTTAATGCTAATAACTCTAATGAGGAGGGTTGGTAACTGACACTGGACACTGATGACTCCACCGGAGGAATGGTAATTAAAACTTTTCAGCCGTTGCTTTATTGCCATTTTATTTTAAAACTTTGCAGTAAATATTAGATGCCGTTTAAAATGCTCATTTTTAATGGTGACGGGTGAAAATGTATTTCATTAAAACAAAAATATAAAGTTAAAAATATCTTAAAAATTACCTTAAACAATCTGTCATAATTGCAACACTTCTCGTTTTTAAGAAGACTCTGTTCCAGTTCGTTCTAAAAATAGATTTCTTTATTGCTAGGACAACTTTCATCAAATATGGAGATTGAATTGATCTCTAACGTCTTGCAAAAAGATATATTGGGTATTTTATCCAAAATAAAAATAATACAGGAGATGAATATCAAACGAGTTCAAACCAATTCACTGTTGATGTCAGAATCTACAGGGTGAGAAAAAAACAGGGATTATTTTCTAAATTTTCTAAATTTTTAGTTTTGTTCGGATTTTAGGCATAAAAAAGTAAAAATGAGATAAAAATTAAAAAACATTTTGGAACATTGAAAAAAAATCCGCGCGTGGAACCAATTTCTGTCTGTTTGTGTCCAATAAATATCAAAATGTCTAAATTTTGTTTGTGTGCCAGCTCACATAAAAGGAATTTTAAAAAAGGTTTGCTTAAAAATATTTTTCTTGAAAATCCAGAACAGAAAAATCTGCCATTATTTTGTTTGTTTATTGTAGAAAGAAAAAATGGCATCTGTATACCTGGCTTTAGTCTGGTTGTGTGGCTGCAAAGAATATCTACGAGTACTAGCTGCCTGGCTTCGTTCTATTGGTAGCAACCTATAGTTTGGTTGTTAGATTATGATAGATATGGTTACATAAAGTTTTGTTAATCGTTTTTAAAAACTTTAGATCATAAAGTACTTTGAAATATTTGTACCCCCAAAAAAAGGGAAACACTAACCTAAAATAATTGTTTTAATGTTTTTGGTTCGTTATTGATTCGTTTTTCGCATATATTTTTTGTCAGGGTCAAAGTTTGGTAAAGTGTAAAAAAAGCAAATATTTAAAATTGTTTATTTTTAATCACATTTTATGTTCTTATAATTTGACGTTTTTACTATATAAATACAGGGTGAATCAAAAAAAAAGTGTGATTTGCCGCACCTGGTGCAAAATTCCTTTCCTGTATGGGTTTTTCCAATATTTTTTAATTTGTATTTTTTTTATTCCTCCTCGGTTCAAGCATTAATTCTCAAAATTTAAAAGTGCCCAAACATTGGATATCGAGATCAATTGTTAATGTTGTGTTATTTTTATGAAAATATTAAAAATAACTTCCTTAATATATACTTTACAATGTGTATCGAGTCTCTCTGCATAAATTAACAAACTTTTATTTCCAGTTAAAATGGACTGTAAAGGAAAAATGAAAGGGGGTATAGTCTGAAACCCAAGAACTTCAGGAGTTGATCGAGACCTATAAGAGTTCTATCTGATGTCTCGAGAAATATAATGATAGTTTTTTAAGCAGATCATATTCAGTAAATACGCAACCAATCTGAAAACGACGATATCCCAGAGGAACCTGAGAAACTCAGGTTTGCTCCTATTATAATTTAAAATATTTTTGACCAACTCTTAAGTTTCGTTGAAGTTGTTTTAATTCGGTGTTAAAACTATGGTTCTGGAAATCTTAATATTGTGATTATAATTATGTTTTTTTTTTATCTACTTAGGGCTGTCAGGAGTTCCTGGTTTACTGTCTCCCATCTCTCAGAGCTAGCTATTATACATTCTATATTATATTCTGAAAATGAACTGAATTCTTACATTTACTTTGACATTCTCACAAAGTTCACCTTAAAATTGGTTAATTCAATATGATTAAAAAACATTATGTCTCTTTTGAAAAATATTAAGAAAAGTAATTATTGATGATGCAATATTCTGAAACTCAAAAAGGTCGATTTTATAATGTGAAAATTATTTTTGCTGCAGATTCAATATTCTGAAAAAATCTAAGATTGCCTATTGCCTAATCTTCATTCTAATACATAAAAAAAAGTTCTCTTTAGACATATATTGAAACTAGGCTTTTAGGGCGCTTCGCGCCCATCTTCTATTTCAACTTTTAACTGTGGCTTTATCTGTCAGCATCTTCTCTTTGTACAGTATAAAACAAAAACGAAAAAAGTTTGCGGATTTCATAATATTTTTTCGCACATTTTCAAATTTTACAAAAATAAAAAACTTTTAATCACAAATTTTAAAAATTTAAGCATTCACAAACCTTCCTTGGGGTCACGTGAGGTCCCACACACAATTTGGGCTCAATCGGTTCAGCCATTTTGACGTTAATTGGATACAAACAAACAAACAGACACCCAGACAGACAAGCCAAATTTACATATAGATATCGAAATATATTGAAGAAAAAATGACCGAGTAAATAAGAAATGTCTGAATTGATAAACTGAAAAATAGAAATGTCTGAATTGATAAACTGAAAAATAGAAATGTGAATTGATAAACTGAAAAATAGAAATGTCTGAATTGATAAACTGAAAAATAGAAATGTCTGAATTGATAAACTGAAAAATAGAAATGTCTGAATTGATAAACTGAAAAATAGAAATGTTTGAATTGATAAACTGAAAAATAGAAATGGCTGATTTATTTTATTTCGAAAAAGTCTAAAATGTAGGACTCATAATTCTGAGAAATCAAAATGTCCGAGATTTAAAACAGTTGAGAATGATAAATGAAATGTGTAAAGTAGTTTTAACTGTTTCTATTTATTCTTGTTGCTTGTTCTTTCAAACTTTTAGAACGATTCTAATCAAAACTTTCAGCAGCAGCTAGAGTTAGTTTTTTGTTTTCAGATCTTTATTATTAATTGTCCTTTAGCAAGAAACTTGTGTTATTAAAGGGACAAGGCTGAGTTAGAATGAGTATTAATTGGAATATGGACACACTTTTAATTTTCTTCTTAAACCGTTCTTTCTTGGATATGGGAGAGAAAAATAAAAAACCGGTTTTCAAAATTCGAGAGTCCCTCCTGTTTCTGTATATTAATCTTAAATGGCGCGCAAAATTTTAAATTTATCGGCTTCATATACGCGACTCTGATTGGTTGAATTTTATACACTTTTCAGGATACAAGGCCTTTGAAAAATTAAATAAAAAACTGGTGGAATTAAAGACTTTTTATCTGACACAGTTACAGTCCCTTTAATCTGTTACGGTTTACAGTCTCTTTAATCTAACACAGTTTACAGTCCCTTTAATCTGACACAGTTTACAGTCCCTTTAATCTGACACAGTTTACAGTCCCTTTAATCTGACACAGTTTACAGTCCCTTGACGGCGTTGCTAACTTTGTCAAATCTTATATACGTACAATTAGAGGAAACAGACATAAAATATTATTTAGCTGACATGTTTATGAACCTGGATCCAAATTTATTTCACTATTTCTTATTTCAAGATTCATATCATAGTCTGCAATCAAAGTCAATGTCTAGGCCTTCCCCCCCCCACTATACCAAGCCAATAGTAACACCTTTGATTACAGTCCCTTGATGTTTAACCATGGATATTGGGTTGAAAAGAGCGTTAAGTCTTGAAAAAAAAACTGGCTGAAATTTATTATTTTCCGCCCCATTCATTTTACAAGGTATAATTTATAAGAACTAGTTGAAGAAACCGTAGTTGCCCAGGTTAATCATAGTTACTTCCGCCGTTTACACGCTCTTGGTATTAAAGTAGGAATTTAGCAGTGCCAGGTGTTGCCAGAGTTCTCGCAAAAAAATTCAGCCAATTGGGTCCATCCGTTTCAACAGTCATAGCTAACATATATCTATTATATATATATATATATTATATTTATTATATAATGAGCAAAAAGCTTTATTATATAGATTATGTTGCTTGGTTAACTTTCCAAGTGTAATATTGTTTCCTAAAAATCCCAAATCTCCAAGTTTCTGTTCGTTCGTCTTTATGTTGAATCTAGCAAATGTTTTTTTTAAGGATGAAACCGTATAAGTACGGGACTTAAAAATAAAAATTGCTTACCCCTTTATCTTCTTAAAAGAATTGGGCAACATTGACGTGCAGTTTTCAAGAATTCTGTTAACGGGCGGGATAAACCATTAATTTTTAACTTCTCGGCAAATTTAACACTCTTCAAAAATAAAAACGAGCGAAAAAAGAACTTACCTACAGTAGGTATTAGTTGAAAACGAACTTACCTTACATAGGTATTAGTTAAAAACGAACTTACCTACCTTAGGTATTAGATTAGTTGAAAACGAACTTACTTACCATATGGTATTATAGTTGAAAAAGAACTTACCTAACTTAGGTATTAATTGAAAACGAAATTACTTACCCTAGGTATTAGTTGAAAGCGAACTTACCTACCTTATGTATTAGTTGAAAAGGAACTTACTTACCATAGGTATTAGTTGAAAAGGAACTTGCCTACCTTATGTATTAGTTGAAAAGGAACATACCTACCGTAGGTATTTGTTAAAAACGAACTTACATACCTTAGGTATTAGTTGAAAAGGAACTTACATACCTTAGGTATAAGTTGAAAAGGAACTTTACTACTTTAGGTTTTAGTTGAAAACGAACTTACCTACCGTAGGTATTAGTAGAAAACGAACTTGCCCAAATTAGGTATTAGTTGAAAAGGAACTTACCTACCTTAGGTACTAGTTGAAAACGAACTTCACAACTATTTCACGAACGGCTACGAACTTGATAAGCCTGACTGTTCCGTTAATGTTTCTGACAGTTAACAGAGAAAATTGAAAAATTATAATGTGTCTAACCCTAGTCCTAGTAATTTTTATGATTACATATTTGTCAAATCTAAAAGCAATATATTTTCTAATGTAGAGTGTCTGAAGAAAAGGTGAAGATCTGCGGCATTCACTTGTTAACAATTACAATTCTTAAAGTAGTTACAAAATAATTCTAGTTCTTGCGTTTTAAAATGGTTTTCTGCCTTTTTTCACCAATATTTCTGCAGAGGAAAAGAACTTTAAATATTTCAGTTCTATTAAAATTACTTTTTAAGTGAAATGGGTATGTTTACCTTTGCACAATTGCTGTGTCTTGTGTATATTGGAATATTTAAAGTCATAACTTGAGTCTACCAGTCGATTTCTTATTCCACAGTTTTCTGGTTATCGCTGTATCTTCTGTGAGATTCTGATTTTTGTACTTTAAACTTACTTTGAAGCAGCTTTGCACATTGCATGACGGATATTTAAAGAAGAAATTTCAAAATATGAATCATTAAAAACCTTTTTATCTTATATTTATTAAATACTTGCTTGAGTGCCAGGCGTTTCCCGTAAAATAAAAAAATGAAATTTTGAAAAGAAATTTTTTTTTGAAAAAATCGAATTTTTTTACCCTTTGTCATCCCCATAGGCTCCCTCAAAATATTTCAGCCATTTTGCCAGCTCTAGCTAACAAAACATACTTACATTTGATGGTGTTTCTTTCGACCTACCTACGATACCTACGCATATTCTCGTTTGACCTATACCACACTCCAGTTCTGACCTACGCCAGATCTGCAATACTACACTTCCGACCTACTATAGCACGTGGTTTTATAGCTGCAAGCTGGATATGTGACCGTAGCGCACGGCCCCCTAGTATTCCCTAGCCGCAGTGATCGGCCCAGAAATTGTCTTATCTTAACCTAACCCTCAAAATAGAAAATATAACAGCTGTCGTAGGTCCGAGACGATGTAACTTTACCATATCATAAACATGAACGAAGAGCTTTATTATATAGATAATCGTCTTCTTTGACTTAATAGTATGCAGAATTAAGCATAAAACAATAATGTATTTTTTAAATTAAAAGTTTACAATCTATAAATAAAGATTATCAAAATATACAATTCACTCTTCGAAATTCGGAATTTTACTAGAAAATTAAATATAGAATAAAATTCTAAATATTAGCAAGCGGAGGCATCAAACAATGAAATTTTTAAGATGTAAGTTTATAATTAATAAAAAACAAATTATTGAAATGTACAGTGTACTCTGATATTGGATTATCAAAGATTTGCGACGAAATATTTTTTTTTGAATCATAATTTTGAGACTTTCATTTAAAAAAAATCTTACGAGTCTTAAAATTCTGACAGATTTAATCTCTTCGATTAATATCTTTTTAACAAAGTAACATTTTTGTTTTTCAAAAATTACTAAATTATTTCCCAAAATTTTCGTTACAAACTGTCAATTTGTTGTTCAGCTCCCGACAAAAAAGAAATACTGAAAAGATACTTAGCTGAGAAATAAAGAATAAGAATTTATTATATTTCTAAATACAACCTCGAACTTCAGAGGCTTAGTGGATACTACTTAGTTATACCTGGAGTCCCGCGGATTGGGATATTTCGAGGAATAGATTAGCGACATTAAGAGGTATATGATGGGGGACATTTCGAGGAATATATATTGTGAAACATTTCGAGAAATATATTGGGGGACATTTTCAAGCTATATTTGGGGACATTTGGAGGAATAGGTTGAAGAAATTTAGAGGAACAGATTGGTGACATTTAGTTGAATGCATTGGGAGAGATTTAGAGGAACGTATTGGGACATTCTGAGAAAAAATATGGGGTACATTTAGAAAAATATATAGAGGACATTTAGAGGAATATATTGGGGATATTATAAATATTTTTTATCAAATTTGTCAAAGTAAGCAATAATACTTCTGCGATATTTACTACAACATTTTCATAGAAAACATTTATCAGCATACTTCATCAACTAAGAATTTATATTTTGAACCAATATTGTAGGGTTAGAACAATTACACATTTTTACAGGAATTATCATAAATTAGAAATTACAATAATACAGGAGAGCTTATTATTTAGAAATTAGAAATAATACAGGAGCGCTTATTATTTAGAAATTTGCAATAATACAGAAGTGTTTATAATTTAAAAAATTTGCAAAAACGATCCGAATTCGTGCATTTCCACCAGGCATTCAATTTTTCTTGATTGGTGGACGGAATTCATAGGAGCGAGGTTTTGAGGATATTTCTGTGCTCTATAAAACATATTCTGTTGATTGGCGTACAGGGTGTCCCACGAAACATAACATTAGCAAGACAACTTAAAGGTCTTCTTTGATATTTTAGCATTTTTTCGTTAACCTATTTTTGAAGCATATTTCTAGAGTTAATTTAACTAATAATTTGAATAGATATTTTGCGATCTCTCAATAGCCGAGAGTAGGTTCTCGTGCAGTTCTGATTGGTCAGACCTTTAAAATAATATACAAGAATGGACTTCAAAAGAAAATTATTATAGTTCTTTTAGGAAAGGGATAAGCGGGGATTAACATTACAAAATATTCGGCCTCAGTATGAGCAAAAGAAAAGAACTTATTTACAGAATTTACAATCGTCGTCGTATATATTAATTCAAAGAAGACGACTTTCAATATCAATTTTAGATACGCGTCTTCATTGTACTGATATAAACGCCGACCACTGTAGAAACAATGCGTTTCACAGAATATATTTTTCCTTTGACTTTGATGAGTTCACTCCCATTGCTTGATCCCGAAGGTTTATATTTGTCCCAAGAAACTGAGGAGTGTATCTATTAGGCCCAAATACCGGAGACTGAGTAGTCATGGATGCAGAATCCTGATGAAGGGTAAACTCCTTTGGCCTGTACCCAATGGGTTCAGGAAGCTGAGGTTTGTACCCAATGGGTTCAGGAAGCTGAGGTCTGTACCCAATGGGTTCAGGAAGCTGAGGTCTGTACCCAATGGGTTCAGGAAGCTGAGGTCTGTACCCAATGGGTTCAGGAAGCTGAGGTCTGTATCCAATGGACTCAGATAACTGAGGTTCGTATCCAATGGGGTTAGGGTTGTGAGTTTGGTATCTAATGGAATCAGCCATCTGAGATGTGTATCCAATCGGATCAGGAAGCTGAGATTTGTATCCACTGGTTTGGTGTGAGTTGTATCCAGAGAGAGTATTTTCGGAAGACAGGACTGGATTGTATCCAATTGAATCAATAGGATCCAAATATGAATTTCCATTTGTTTCACTAACCATTGACGGAGCATGTCCATTTGCATAAAGTTTATACCCTACGGATGGCTGATATACGGCAGATGGTTGATGTACATAGGATGACAGATATCTCGCGGATTGCTGATATCTGGCGGATGGCGGATATCCGGTGGATGGCGGATACCCGGCGGATGGCTGATATCCGGCGGATGGCTGATATCCGGCAGGTTCTTGTTGAGTGTATGTCTGATATTTATAATTAGCTCCAACCTGAACTGAAAAGAAAGGCTCTGAAGGTTTTGATTGTATTAATCTTGGTCTAGGTTCTACCAAATTATAGTCTACAGGATAATCAGATTGGTTGGGTTTAAACTGAGAGTGGTTGTACATCTCAGGTCCAGATTCCCGAGGAACGTGATCAACAGGATCTTGGCTCGAGCTAGTTCTAATATATGGATGAGTCAGTATAGATTCACTACCGATCATGTAAATAAAAAAAGATTACTTAAAAAACTTTGATAATTCCGTCTATAGTACTAGGTTATCTTTGATTTTAATTCTTGCTCTATCTGTCCATAATGAACAAAATTCGCGGATTTATTGATTTTTCCCGTGGATTTTGAAAAATAGAAATTTTTTAAATTCTGACCATCCATAAGCCTTCCCAGTGACGTGAGGTCCTCCCACATTTTTTTTTTGGCTCGATCAGTACAGCCGATTTGACGTTTAAACTGTTTTGAGAATTTTCGCAAGTACAGAGTGTCCCACAAAACATGACAATGATCTATGAATGTCGTCTTACATATCCTCTATTATATATTAAAGGCTTTTTCCAGTTTATTTCGTTAAAAAATCTTTTGCTTAAATATATTATACTTTGAAATCAATTTTACTAGAACATGACTTCCAATTAATATTTTTATTATTTTCTTTGGTATCAAACAACCTAACAAATTATGGAAGAAGACATTCTAAACTGTTCACCAACTGTCATGTTTCGTGGGACACCCTGTATGTGAAAGTTCTCGAAGTACTATTTAACTATTTTCGAGTGTGTATACTGTACCTGTATCCAACATATCCAGGATGAAATGGCACCGGCCGGACCAATCCTCTAGGTTGGATATATCCAATTGAACCTTCATCAGTTGCTGGTTTGAACCGTTTTGAGGTCAGAGGTTCAGTATCAAGGTTATCTAGATAGTTTTGAGAAGAAACAGATCCAATAAAACCAACAGGCTGTGTATATTCTTCAGTAGGAACCATTGGTTTCAATACCGCAGGGATAAATGCAGGTTGCCCTAAAATTTAAGAATGATCTTAGAGAAGCTGTAGAAGTCTCCATTTATAAAAGGGCAGGTCCCCTGTACAACAGTATTCTTAAAAGCTTTATACTATATCAAGAATGCATTTGATATTTGAAACTTCTTTTTGGTTTCTCTCTTTAAAGTGACTCATGTATATATGCTTCAGAGCAACAGAGGAGTTTGCTAGAATGATTTCAAGCCAATAAAACTACGAAAGGTTATTCGAAATTACAAGAACACTCCTTTTAAAGTATATTTCCCAATGATGATGATGATGATGATGATGATGATGATGATGATGATGATGATGATGATGATGATGATGATGATGATGATGATGATGATGATGATGATGATGATACCTGTATGTTTGTTGTGGTTCTGATGAATCAAATAATGCTGAACATCTAGAACCTTGTTGAGAAGGTTAAGCATATCCTTGCTCAGCTCAGGAACTGATTTCTCCAGCTGCTCAACACTTTGAGTTAGCACCTCCAGCAGACTGCAGACAATAAGATATCTGTAAATGTTAGTGGCCCTTCATGCATAACGTCGTGTTTCAGACTCGAATAGAGAAACCACAATTAAAAAGTAATAGTTTAAATAAACAAAAACATGGATATCTTGATCAAACTTTAAAGGTACTGTTGTAAATCGGACATTGTCATCTTTGCAAGGAGGGTCACTTAAATTACGCTAAGTCCCTTTTCATACATCTTGATTCAAGGTATGGTTAACAAATTTTATATGTTTAAAACATCTCGATTTAAGGTTTGTTTACATATTTTATTTATATGTGTTTGTATTTTTCTTGTTTGTTTGCATCCATTAATCTTCAAATTGGCTAAAGCATTAAGGTTAAAACTCGTAAGGCCTATAGCAAGCCAGAAGTAAAAAAAATCCTTCAAAAGAATTTGTTCGAAAATATTTCGAAATCCATTGATGAAAATAAAATCTGTGGTATTCTTTTAATTCATGAAATTAAGATCGTATAAATTTATAAAAATTCATAAAATGTACAGGCTGTCCCCAAAAAACATTCTTTTAGACATTTTGACACAACCATCTTTCAATTTACAAAATTTTGGACATTTTGAAATCTATTGAACATTCCCTTATAAAGTTCTATAATACAGTAACTTTCCAATTTATAAACTCACCAAAGCCTTAATGTCAAATTTCTTGAACTTTTGTCCTAAACGCTATATAATTGATATCCATCAATGTTCTATAAATTTTAAATATGTCCACAATTTCAAAAATTTAACCACCATGAGTACTCCAATGTTTAAAAGAGCATTATTTGGGATCCCCTGTATATTTCTAGAAGGGAGGGTGGGGTAGTGAAGTTTTAGCACACTATCTAAAATATCCTTCCTATATTTGTGAAGTATTGTTTGAGCTAGGACTGGGTTTATGTTTGGACAGATGTTGACAAGGAACTTCTCGTGGCAGGTGATCACCTCGCTGCCCAACAGGCTGGGGCTAATCTCCTCCATCCTGCAGAGGTAAAGGGACTGTAGACGTAATTTTAAGTAACTCTAAACTTAAATGACTAATTCACAACGGCACCCTTTAAACCTATTTATGATTAAGAATGGATGAGATGTTTTCTAACATCATGACTTTTTGATTTTGCTACACAAAAGTCGAGGACATTTTTGGAATTTAATTCCGTTTAGATGACGATCTCTTCCATATTATTAATCAGATAAAGATTTACAGAGTTTAGTTGTGAGTTAGCCCTGCACCTCAATATATGGGAGGTTACTTGAAATTACATCTTCAGTCACTTAACCACAGTAAAAAACAGAAAACACTGAAATACACCTGTTTTTCTTTTAATTACCTAGCATGATAATATGAGAAGTAATTAAATCCATGGATGTTTCGATTAAATACACGCCACCTTTTTTCTTTTAATCAAGAAATGTTCCTATCTGAGGAACTAGCACTATTTTAACAAAAATTGCCCTAGCACATTAATAGTGAGAAGTAATTTAACCTATGGATGTTTCGATTTAATACACGCCACCATTTTTCTTTTAATTAATAAATGTCCCTAACTGAGGAAATAGCACTATTTTTAACAAAAAGTGCCCTAGCACATTAATAGTGAGTAGTAATTTAACCTATGGATGTTTCGATTTATTACACGCCACCATTTTTCTTTTAATTAAGAAATGTCCCTATCTGAGGAAATAGCACTATTTTTAACAAAAAGTGCCCTAGCACATTAATAGTGAGAAGTAGTAAAACCCATGGATGTTTCGATTCAATACAAGCCACCATTTTTCTTTTAATTAAGAAATGTCCCTATCTGAGGAAATAGCACTATTTTTAACAAAAAGTGCCCTAGCACATTAATAGTGAGTAGTAATTAAACCTATGGATGTTTCGATTTAATACACGCCACCATTTTTCTTTTAATTAAATGTCCCTATCTGAGGAAATAGCACTATTTTTAACAAAAAGTGCCCTAGCACATTAATAGTGAGTAGTAATTAAACCTATGGATGTTTCGATTTATTACACGCCACCTTTTTTCTTTTAATTAAGAAATGTTCCTATCTGAGGAAATAGCACTATTTTTAACAAAAAGTGCCCTAGCACTTTAATAGTGAGTAGTAATTTAACCTATGGATGTTTCGATTTATTACACGCCACCTTTTTCTTTTAATTAAGAAATGTTCCTATCTGAGGAAAAAGCACTATTTTTAACAAAAAGTGCCCTAGCACATTAATAGTGTCAAGTAGTTTAACCCATGGATGTTCGGATGAACCACTTCTTTTGTGAGCCGGTTCAAGATCATTGAAGTGGTTCAACTAAGTATACGTGGTTTCTCGTTATTCATTTGGCTCCTGAAGATTTTTTATCAGTTCAACAAATAAAAATTACAAAATACTAAGCGACATTTATTAAGTAAAAGGAGAAACAAAGGAAATTTTCTTTTCAATTTTCATGGTTTCACTTGTAGTACAGTGATAACTCTATTTAAGTAGAACAATGTCGTCTTAGTTTACTTTCTATTATATTGAAATGTTGCTGAAGTGAATTAATTTTAAAATTAAATGTTTTATCAAATTTCTGAAAACAATTAATGGTTCCACTATACCCTTTTAATCCATTACCTGTAGATCTTAGATATTAGGTTTGGGAGTTCACTCTTAGAGCAGAGCAGGGTAGAGACTCGACAACTAGATCCAGGCTCTTAAACATAGAGAATATATATATTAGAGTAGAGACTAGACAACTAGATCCATGCTCTTTAACATAGAGAATATATATATTAGAGCAGAAACATGATAACTAGATCCATCCTCTTAAACATAGAGAATATATATATTAGAGCAGAAACATGACAACTAGATCCATGCGCTTAAACATAGAGAATATATATATTAGAGCAGAAACATGACAACTAGATCCATGCTCTTAACCATAGAGAATATATATAATAGAGCAGAAACATGATAACTAGATCCATGCTCTTAACCATAGAGAATATATATATAGAAACATGATAACTAGATCCATGCTCTTAAACATAGAGAATATATATATTAGAGCAGAAACATGATAACTAGATCCATGCTCTTAACCATAGAGAATATATATATTAGAGCAGAAACATGAAACTAGATCCATGCTCTTAAACATAGAGAATATATATAATAGAGCAGAAACATGATAACTAGATCCATGCTCTTAACCATAGAGAATATATATATATTAGAGTAGAAACATGATAACTAGATCCAGGCTCTTAAACATAGAGAATATATATATTAGAGTAGAGACTAGACAACTAGATCCATGCTCTTTAACATAGAGAATATATATATTAGAGCAGAAACATGATAACTAGATCCATGCTCTTAAACATAGAGAATATATATATTAGAGCAGAAACATGATAACTAGATCCATGCTCTTAACCATAGAGTATATATATTAGAGTAGAGACTAAACAACTAGATCCATGCTCTTAAACATAGAGAATATAGATATATTATAAAATTGCAAATATATATTTTTGTATTTATATGAAAGCAATTAGTCCAATAATAGCATTTTCCTAGAATTTCATTTTTTAAAGTCTCGTTAACAACATGAAAATACTAATTAACTCAAATTAGTTTTAAATCATCAGAGAAAAATAAATTAAATTTTAAAGCTAAAAAATGTTTGACATGTAACAAAATATATATATGCTTGTATCAAGTATATAAAAAAACATTTTAAAATCTATGTTTTACCAAAATAAACCGTCGTTGCATTTTACATTATCATGCTAAACATGTTGATATTTCATAATAAAAATCTTAGCTTTTTGTTGCTAAATATCTTTTGCTTGAAACAGAACCGGTTTATTTTGGATTTTCTTGTTCAATTAAAAAAAATTGTCGAAATTATAGAGTATCTAAAAAGGAATAGATTACTCGCTCCTAACTCGACTGTTCTAATACCTATATTTTTGCAACCTGATGGTGTTAACTCTTCATATTTCAAACTTTGACTATTTGATCTACATTGTGACAGAATTCTTAGTTTGAAATATCAAACGTGTATGTATCAATCTGCAAAGATTTAAGGATTAGAAAATAAGATGGCGGGGACTGGAGAGTAATCATTGTATTTACCTGATGAAAACGCTTGTACCGATAGTCCCTTCAGGTATTGATCTATGCATGTATCCAGGATCAGGAAGAACAACTTCTTGAACAAGGAGTAGTTCATTAAAAATAGTTTAGCACAAGTGTAAGGGCTGGGACCAGAGTTAATCAATTGGGAGAAGGAGTTGAACCGTGTATTCTAAGTTTGACCACCGGAGGTAACCGGTTACCCACAAAGGATGTGACTTCAGAGACGACTGTACCGAATTTTTACTGTCTGTTTCCCTATATTTATGATTTCCTGCAACTTTAAAGTTCTTTCTATCTTTGTCAAATCATTAAATAAGTCATTTGAAGTCTACATTCAAGGCTGGTAACCCTGAAGTTCAACTAAGTCTTTGCGGTTCAACTATATCTCATTAATTATTAAATCTGGTTCCTGGACTTTGGTTTACAGATGATAAATATCCCCACACTGGGGCTCAGCATGATGTCAGGGAACTGGATCTTATTCTCATAATCCGCCTGGTTCCTCACCACCAGGGTCAAACCCTTCTCCATCTCCAGGTTGGTCAATAGGTTGGGGATGTTGGTTAACCACTCCTGGACCAGGATCCAGGAACAGTCCTTCTCCTTCTTCTCCAGCATAGGTGAATCATTCCTTTAATATTGTTGTCAAAAACTTTTTTTTCTCGAAAATTTACCCTCCCCTGGAGAATCATTTTTTTAAATTTTAAATTTTATAGCCCTTATTAAATTTCTACAATTAGAATAAAAGATTTTTGAAGGTTGGCGGGGGAAATGATTTTTTCCTTCAAAAATCAAACCCTTCCCCCGGAGAAAATTTTTTTACAAAAAGGAAAAAAGAGGGGTTTTGAAGGGTAGCGGGGGGATTGGAAATAATATCTACACCCCTCCGGCCTGTATTGGTACAAATCTAACCCAATTATAAGTAACCATTCAAATAAAGATTGCATTGATCCAATAACATATTCTAAATTTTGTACTCAACATTTAAATAAAAGTTCTCTTAAAGGCATTGAATATTTGTCATAATGATATTCTAATCTGTAAATCTTTGCAACCTAAAATATTTCAACCTATGAATTCTGTTGGATCATGTAATCTAAGTTTGAAATATCAAATGTTTAATCCATCAGGTTGAAAAGATAAAGGGTTTATCAATTTGAGTAAATGTGGCAAAGACTCAATTCCTTTACGCTGATAGTAATTTATAGTAATTACTATTAACTAATCAAAAGTACCTTTTGTGAGAGTTTTCTGTAACTGTAGCTTGGACAGGAATATCAGGCTGTTTCTTGTGATCATCAGGCTTCTTAAAGTACTGGAATAATAATTTTTGCCAAAAAAAACTATACCGATATTAACTCTATTGGCAAATAATGACTTCAAGATCTATCAACCTCAATATTGAAATGTACGCCAGATTAAAGTAACCATGTTGATTAAAATGATTTTTCAAATATTTTTATAAAAGATTCAAATAGTTATAAAATATATATTTTTAATCCATTAATTTATAAATATCAAGAAAACATTAATATCTCTTACCTTAGACTTTTCTCCGTCCTTTTTATCAGAATTAGAAGATTTTGCCAAGTTTTTAATTTTAGACAAAAGCTTACTTCTAATCCCCTCTTTAGGGTTTTCATTGCCCTCTCTACAGACACAAGGGGAGCATCAAAATTAAAGCTTAAAAAAAGAGTTTTCCTTTTAAGTGTTTTTTTTTCGATGAAATCTGGCTTTCATCAAACCGCACCAAAAAAATTCAAACATTAAAATAAAATAAAATAAAAAATTCTGAACATCTTCAGAATTGTTTTAATGCATGATCAGCAACATTAAACCTTATTCGAAATGTAAGATAAAAATGTATTAATATGCTTAAACCTTTTCAAAAATAAGTTTAATTTCCACATCAAACCACGCTATTTGTCAATTTTAGTAAACTCATGCCGGTTTCATAATAATATGATGAAACATATGAAAAACACTAACATTTTATCTCTATATCTTTGCAGCCGAATAGTGTAAATTAAACATTTTGATTTTTGGATCTTGCAGAATTTATATGTTTTTGTCTATGCCAACAGGTTTCACAGATTAGAAAATTAGTGTTTGATGAGACTAATCAAATCTTTAAACCCCCCTGATCCTGTCTTTGGTTCGCCTTCTGGAAAAATATGTTGTTCTGGGTTCATAGAGGAGCTCCTGCAGAACTTCTTCCCTAACATTTCTAGGTTTTTATTTTCAATTCTTATTTGACATTAATTCACAGACGTTCCCTCTTGAATAGAGGAGGGCATCGTTATATAAACATTTATGAAACCATCGTGCATTAAAGTTAAACTATCTGTACATTATAGCACGTGTGCTATAAAGTTTTGATTGGTTCCGGGATTTTCTCCAAAAAACTTAGGATATTTCCAAAATAATTTTTTCCCTCGCTAAAGCTCAAGACAAAATTAAATCTAATAAGGCTTGAACCTTCTCGATAAAAGAAAATTTCGGTCCAAATAATTTTTAATACTGCAAACCAAAATAACAGTGTTTTAAATAGTTCTTATGATCGCAACTGTTGGCATATGAGGAGTTTCCGTTTGTGTTAAAAAAAATGAAAAGATTTCTAATACAGAGGGGGAAATTACCATGAATGAGAACTTCACGAAAAAAAAGGTTTTGCAGGACTTTTCATGACTCACCCTGTATACCCCTGCAGTCTCTTTATCTATAAATATCAATCTCACGGAAACATTTTAATCGACTATATGTGCCTATATATGCCCATGGCGAAGATGTCGTGTAAATAATTCTGGACTTTATATGTTTGACATTGGATTTTCGGAGACTAAATGTTTGCAGGTTAATTAATAAAATGAATTTGACTGTAGAAATGATTCATGAAAAACTAGTAAACCTGCCTCACAAACATGTTGACTCCTTCCGGGAAAAGGTTCTCATGAACCCAGTCCTCCAAGGGGGAAACACTGAGCAATCAAACTAGTCTTAACTGCAACCAGAGACCAAATTTAAAGAATTTGAACCGCGTCGCTAAACTGACAATAACCGATTCAAATTGAGCGCTGGCTCAAATCTTTAAACACATATTAGAACTTCCAGTTGAACCAACCATGTTTGAACCGCGGCTCAAATTCTTTAAATTCGGCCTGGTAACTTGAAGTTTAGATCTTAAAAGGGACTGTTAAATTATTTGTTGTCAACTTTCTAGACTGACATCACATCCAGGCATCCTTTCTTGATAAAACTAAGAACGAAGACTTCTTTAATATTCCACTGTTTTTAGAGGAAAAGATGGACTTTCATTTTTTAAATTTGGACCCTATATTGCATGGCATTCCAATCCAAAAAGGGTCGATCAAAATCAGTCCTTGGGATCCATTTAATCTTTATGCGGATCCGCTTTGGAAAAAAATGGATCCTGCTATTCATAAACCTTTTTAATAGTTGAGATTTGGACTAAAAGAGCAAAGAATTTCTTTTTACAGTTTTGCCCCTTGGATCCGGATCCGTCGAACCATATATTTTTTCTGGCCCGGATCCTAAGCATTGCCTAAAATTATAGTGCACAGATGATACAGCAAGAACCAAAAAACTGTGGAATACAAGGACGACTTAAAAACTGCAGTTATGATTTTAAATAGTCCTACGAACATGCCACTGCTGTAGACCCATTTCCCATAATATGGGATTTTTAAGGTACTCGCAAAACTATTTGCTTTGTAAATAAAAAACAGATTCTTTTGAAGATTACTTCCTATTCCATAGTTTTCTGGTTCTCACTGTAGTCTCTTTAAAGTTTATTCTTTTTCTTTTGTTTGACTAATTTGTTCCTGTACTTGGATGGTTTGCTGTATCTTCTCTTTGTAGGAATACAGTTTTTATCAGGACAGATAGAGACATCAAATAATCCTTTCCTCTTCTCTTCTTTTCTTTCTTCATCCTGGACTTTGTTATCCAGGACCTTGACCTTCTCATCCTGGACGTTTTCATCCTGGACCTTTTTATCCCGATCCTTCTTATCTTGGACTTTATCATCCAGTACCTTCTCATCCAGGACCTTTTCACTTAAGACCTTCTCATCCTGATGTTTCTTATCCAGGACCTCCTCTCCATGTACCTTCTTGGGGTCACAGACTATATTTGCATGATTGTTTTGTTCAATCACCATATTTAAAGGTTCATCTTGCTCTGGAGTCGTTTCTGCAGATTTATTTGGTACTAAAGATACCTTGGGAGTTTCAGTAAAGGTTATGTTGATGGGTTCAGTTTGCTCTGGGTTATGTTTCTCTGGTTCAATTTGGATTGAAGTCACTGTGTTTGGCCCAAATTGTGCTTGATTTAGATCTACAGGTTGAGGTTTAGCTTGGACTAAAACCAAGTTTTCAAGTTCAAATTGATCTGAAGTCAGATTTTCATGAGTATGGGCTTGGGTCATGTTTTCAGAATTAGCTTTTACTGAAGTAAAGTTATTACTTTTAATTTGTGTGACTGGAGTAATAAAAGTTTTAGAATCTAAAACTTGTTTTTGGATCATGTTTTCAGCAGGGTTATCTTGGTTTGAATTAAGAGCTTCATGTTTAACTTGTGCTGAAGTCAAGTTATGAAGTTTAACTTGTGCTGGAGTCAAGTTATTAAGTTTAACTTGTGCTAAAGTCAAGTTTTCAACAACTTGTGCTGGAGTCAAGTTATCAGGTTCAACTTGTAATAAGGTCAAGTTATCAAGTTCAACTTGTGCTGAAGTCAAGTTATCAACAACTTGTGCTGGAGTCAAGTTATCAAGTTCAACTTGTGCTGGAGTCAAGTTATCAAGTTTAACATGTGCTGGAGTCAAGTTATCAAGTTCGACTTGTGCTGAAGTCAAGTTATCAAGTTCAACTTGTGCTGGAGTCAAGTTACCAAGTTCAACAAGTGCTGGAGTCAAGTTATCAGGTCCCACTTGTGCTGGAGTCAAGCAATCAAGTTCAACTTGTGTTGGAGTCAGATAATTAGGTCCAACTTGTGCTGGAGCCAAATTAGCAGGTTCCACTTGTGCTGGAGCCAAATTATCATGTTCAACTTGTGCTGAAGATGTGTTATTTTTCTCGGGATTCAAAATTTCGACTTTATTTTGGTGTAATCCATTTTCTTGATTATCACTGGATCCATTTTCAAGAGGAGGAATCCCTCTGGATTCATTTTCATAAGGATAAATCATACTGGTATCATTTTGTGGTGGATTTATTACACTGAAAACATTTTCTGTAGTTTCAATATCACTTTCTTTAGTGTGCTTCAAACTGCCCGGTATAGGTTCAACAAAATTTACATTTATATCACACACTTTTTGATCAACAATTTCAGCAGCAATTTCTTGATTAAACGTTTGAAGGAGAGGTACAGCTACAGTTTCTTCAGGTTTATCAGTGAACTGAGGCACACAATCTAAAAATAATTTAGGTTTCACTGTGTTGTTTCTTGCGTATATATTATATTTAATGTTTTCTAAAAGCTATTAAATAAAATGTGTGAATAATGTAAATGCTTACTTTGACTTTGACTCAAGAATCTCTTTAGCATTGCCTTCTTTGGTTTCAGTTTAAAAGCATTGGAAGGATCCTGAGTTTTATTAATCAGAGTTGGAACAAGAACAGGGCCCGGGGTATGGATACAATCCTTGATCAGGGTAGGATCTGAAGTTGGGATACAATTCTTAATCAGGGTAGGGTCTAGTGTAGGGATACAATCCTTTATCAGGGTAGGATCTGGAATAAGTATGAAATCCTTGATCATGGTAGGATCTTTAGTAGTGGTACTGCAATCCATAGTCAGGGTAGGTTCCGGAGTAAGTATAGAATTCTTAATCAGGGAAGGATCTGAAGTATGGATAGAATCATTGATCAGGGTAGGGTCTGGAGTAGGAATACAATCCTTTATCAAGGCAGGATCCGGAGGAGGGATACAATGCTTGATCAGGGTAGGATCTGGAGTAGGGATACAATCCTTGATCATGATAGAGTCTGGAGTAGGAATAAAATCCTTGATAAGGGAAGGATTTGGAGTAGGAATACAATCCCAGGTAGGATCTGAAGTAGGAATACATTCTTTGGTAGGATCTGAAGTAGGGATCCAATCCTTTTTAATCTTATTGGTTTCAGAATAGAAATCCTCAATCTTCTGATGATTAGTCGTGCTGAATAAATCTCCATTGATCTGGGATGAATTGGTGGAAGGATTTGAATCCCCGTTGCTCCCTATCGAACGATCTGGTTGATTTAGTAAACCATTTCTTCGTCTAAAAGACTTCTGCCCTGTAACTAAACATAGATAGAGACGCCACAATAAACATAGAAATTGACATTTATAATTTAAGAAAAAGTTAGTTAAACATTTTTTTTTGTCCGATTTATGAAAATTATGAAGACAGGGACCAGAAATAATGATAAAAAGTAAAGTTACATAAACGTAGTTAGACCAAATGTCTTGTTGGCTTTTTCAATTTAAAGAGAAGTGCTTTAACTTAGTCTACGCAGTTTAACATTTAACAACGTCTCGTTCTTTTATATTTGGTTCCTGTCTTCAAATTTGTGGGAGATTAAAAAGTGGTCGCTTGACACAGGACGGTTTAATAGTGTCCCTGGTGTGAGATTTAATTGACAAAGGACGGATTAATAGTGTCCCTGGTGTGAGATTTAATTGACAAAGGACGGTTTAATAGTGTCCCTAGTGTGAGATTTAATTGACAAAGGACGGTTTAATAGTTTCCCTAGTGTGAGATTTAATTGACAAAAGACAGTTTAATAGTTTCCCTAGTGTGAGATTTAATTGACAAAGGACGGTTTAATAGTGTCACTAGTGTGAGATTTAATTGACAAGGGACGGTTTAATAGTGTCCCTAGTGTGAGATTTAATTGACAAGGGACGGTTTAATAGTGTCCCTGGTGTGAGATTCAATTGACAAGGGACGGTTTAATAGTGTCCCTAGTGTAAGATTTAATTGACAAAGGACGGTTTTAAAATATAATCATTTAATATTTTAAAATGTTATATATATATATATATAAATATATATTAGTGAATCTACATCATATAACTAGAGGAATTAGAGGGAAAAAGGTTTGTTGACATTTTTATTTGATAGATTAGGACTGCTTAAGAGCTTTTTTATTACAAATAATCAACACCTAGCATATTTTGACTATCCAGGCAATAAAATAAGCCAACAAAATTTTTGAACATTTTAATTGGATAAAAAAACAGTAAATATTGAAGGAATGTTCAGGACCTTAATATCCAGTATTGGATCTGGATCCAATTTTTTTCGGAGCGGATCCAAGATCCGGATCCGGATACGCATCAAAATAAAATGGGTCCTAAGCATTGCCTACAACATTATCATTGTTCAAGGGTGTGATAACTATAAAATGTTAACACACCCTTTATCCCCCTCTTTTCTTAGTTGACAGTCATTATTATACCTGAAGAGAGTTTAGGATCTGATCTAGGACGTTTAATGTATTTTCTTAATTTTTTCCAGTTTCTGGTCTTTATTCTTTTCTTCACTGTTGAAGGGGGAGCCTGAAAAAAAAACTATCTTACCAATAGAAATCATTAAATTTAACATTAGACTCTATCAAATTTATCATTCTTCATCATTTGAAGACTTGTGCTATATTATTAAGTTGAGTTTGGCTCAAGTGTTCCAACAAATTTTGTTAGATGAAAATCTTGAATTTCTACAAATGAGCAAAATTTTTGAATAAATATGTTGTAAAATTAATTTTAATTGACCCTCGACAAAGAGAGTGTCAATCGACCCATTTACAGTGGCACCCTGTAAACAAAAAAGAAAATTTTTGCTAAATCTAAAAGTGTAAATTTTTCACAATTTCCTTCTTTTTCTTTGTAACATAAAATCCATAAGTCATATTTAAAGAGAAATCAAAATTGAAAATAGCTAATTTTTAATTAAAAAATAACTAGCATATCTTATTGATCCCATTGTCAAAGAAATGGTTGGAGGTCAACATTTTGAATCAGCCAAGGCACTTTTATAAATAAAGTGTACATTAAAGTTACGTTCTTCTTCAGATATTTTTTTTTACTAATTTATCATTATTTTCTATTTATCATTTATCTTGCGTCATTGAAAATTTTCAAACGATCATGTTCCGGAAAATTTTGTAAAAGCAGAAAAAAGTTAGGTACTGTAAATTTCTTAATGTCAGCTAACCTGAGATACAGAGCATGGATGTTGTTTTCTATCTTCAGATATCTGAACTAACTCTGTCTCTTTCAGACCAGTGTTTGAGTCTGATATGTTTTCTTCTGTTTCTTCTTCTTTCATGATTATTTGAATATCTCCATCTTTTGTCAGATTTAAACCAATCTCTTCCGATTCCAGAATTTCAGTTGAAACAAACTTTTGTCCATCATTGAATTCAGACATTGGTTTACAATTTTCTTCAGCAAGGTTAGGTGATATATGCTGAAACTCAGAAGGTTTTTTAGAAGGTTCATGCTCATGAGCGTCGAAATATTTTTCATGACGCTCAATTTCCAGTATTATATCTTCAAGAATAGAGCTGATTAAGGCATGAGAACACTCTTTTTCGCTTTGAGTCTCCGCCATCTCTTTTGAACTTTTATCATCGAAGATCAACTCCTGATCAGAATCATTTATGGATCTAAGATCAATTTCAGGATTTTGATCCTGATCAAAGATCAGCTCTTGGTCAGGATCAACTTTGGATTTAAGATCATTTCCTGGATCTTGATCCTGATCAAAGATATCTTGGTCAACATCATCTTTGGATTTAAGATCATTTTCTGGATCTAGATCCTGATCAAAGATATCTTGGTCAACATCATCTTTGGATTTAAGATCATTTTCTGGATCTAGATCCTGATCAAAGATATCTTGGGAAAGATCATCTTTTGTTTTAAGATCATTTCCCGGATTTAGATCCTGATCAAAAATCAGCTCTTGGTGTGGATCATCATTGGAATTAAGATCAATTTCTGGATTTTCTTTTTTAAACTCTTCCTCAGGTTTATACCCCTCTTCCATCGATACATTTTCACTTGGCTTGTCTTGAGTGGCTTGAACAACGTCCTCATCAAATAAATCCTGGTCCATCTCAGATCCAATCCTTCCAACATTCTCATCTTGATGATCATAATTGATCCTCTCTTCCTCTTTGATATCCCACTTGAATACAAACTCCTTCCCGATCAGCTCCAGCTCATTCTCTAGCTCGTAGTTCTCCGTCCAGGAGTCGGACTCCAGCATGTCCAGTAGGTCGGTTGTGTCTGGGGGACGGTCCCGGCACCATCGGGGCCAAGGCATAGAATCCAAGTTCTCAATGTAGATTTCTCCGATGCATAGTTTATCATAGGCGTCCTGGGTCAGGGTTACAGGTCGGGCTTAATATCTTATCAAGATTTACAATGATTGCATAGACAAAAAATACAAGTGTTTACTTATTTGTTGAGGGATGGGGGAAGGCGACCCGAACCTGTTTTTCCTCCGACCCGCAGATGACGTCACAAACCGGGATTAAGAAAATTTGCCGGGAGGCAAAACGGGTGAGGGTTGGACGGCATAGGGGTAAGCGCATGCCTCAAATTCCGTTTTGTGACGTCATCTGTGGGTCGGAGGTAAAACGGGTGCGGGTCGCCTTCACCCCCTCGTTAAAGGGGTTAATTTNCTAAAGTACAAAGGAGTTATAAGTGGTCGGCGATTATATCAACACAAGTATGACGACGTCGACTTTTTATTTCATTCTCAGTAAATTTGAAATCATTTTTTTATTAATGTTTAAATAATAGAAAATATTTTCCCTTTTAGGTGACAGTTTTTCTTTTTCTCTTCTTTATAAAAGCTGAATAGAAATTTAAAAATTCAAATTTTATTTCTTTAATTTTATTATTCTACATTATATCCGACGTACTGGAAACTCAGGCTCATTTCAAGTATCGGGCCGACTTAAAACCTGCTAGAGCAAGCGGTATAGCGTACAGTCACATGCAGACAATATAAGGCAAAACAGGACGGTACGCCAAATGAGCAATATCTATATAATAATTTATCCAACCTAAACCCTGCCTTGATCAGTTTATTCTCTGATAGTAGTTTCTTGATCTGGTTTTCCCCGGGAGGATATATCTCCGAGGTTAACCAGCCTGGTCTGGAACTCTTCAGGTCAATCTTACTACTCAGAGTTGTATTTTACAATCACGTCATATATACATTGGTATTGTTCATAAAATATCATCATTCCAGATTTTCAGGAATGTCCTATTGTCATGCTTTAGCCTTAAAGTGATATAAACCCAAGAACGAGACATCTTAGACAGAAGATATACTAAATCAATCACAGATCTCAACCATTTTTGTCCCGGAAACTATAACTTTTTTTTGCTAGAGAAACCGATTCTAAAGGTTTAACCGCTTATAAACTATGTCTGACTAGCTAACTGGAGTGCCCGTCGTCACCCCAGGTTTTTAGTATTTTTTCCAGTCATAGTTACTCCTGCCAGTTAACTACGCTTGATATTGAATTATGATTATTATTGAATTATGATTATTATTGAATTATGATTATTATTGTCAAGCAATTTGGTCCGGACATTTGGCCAGCTATAGCTAACATATTTGCATTTAAATATAATGTAATAAGAGAATACCAACGTGAATATATGTATAAAAATGTCTAGTTTGATAAAAATAAGGATACTTCGTAAAAAACGAACAAGGAAAGAATAAAAAAAAATTCTGGGGGGTGGGGAAACTTTTCATACAGCTTAAATTCTTCAGGCTTGTAAGAGAATCCCAACAAAATCTGAACACTTTCAATAGTACAAAGTAAACTATGTCTAAAGTACAAAGTAAACTATGCCTATAGTACAAAGTAAACTATGTCTAAAGTACAAAGTAAACTATGTCTAAAGTACAAAGTAAACTATGTCTAAAATATCTTTTTTAAAGTGAACATATTTGTTACTCTAAAATCATTTTTCATTAGGTAAAAAACGTCAATTATGTAAAATTCCTCGGGCTGAATTCAATCTTTGAATTCTGAATACTTGTCCAAATCTGTTCTTCCTCTAGCGTATAATCATCTTCTTTCCTGGCGGCCGGCCAAGAAACGTCCATGATGGAGGACAGGTTCAGGTTCTCCAGGTTTCTCAGGAGCTCTTCCTTGTCATTGAGTTCGTCCTCCAGGTCCCAGTTAACGTCCTTTTCGTCGTCCCAGGTCTTCATGTAGAGGAGTTTACCCTTGTTATCCTCAATTCTAGAATTTATTTATTATAAATTTAAAATTCAGTGATGGTGATGGACCAAACCTCTGTAGAGTAAAAAAGTAGACGTTAGTTCCACATTTATGAAAATATATTTCGGTCTGGGTTGACCCTCGTCAATTCTTGAGATTGTTTCTTCACAAAGATTAAAAAGATTATTTATTATAAAAAACGACATTTATCAAACAGTCAAAAGGGATTTTCCCGGAAGGGGGGTGGGCGGGCGGCTTGTATCAAACCTAGTTTTCTCCTTTTCAATGTTTATAAATATTTAAGCAAGTTAATAGATTAATCAAAGATATAAAAAAATAAATATTGATGTCCTCTTAGATTGTTGTCGTAGATGTTTTATTTTTAGAAATAAGCCCTACAAAGCTGACAATTTTTCTGGAACAAATCCAGTGTGGTTTAAGCAAAGAAGTACAACTTGGCAAAGGAATTACACTCATAGGTAAATAAATAAAGATGTGATAAAATGATGGATATTTTAGTGGTCTACGTGATGTTTTTACTCTTTTTGTGAGATTGAAAATGACCCAATTGAACTTATTTTTACGAAAGAAAAACTGAATGAATTGAAAAAAATTACGAAAACTAAAAGAATGGTGCCATCATACAAGAGTAAAAAAAAGCTGAGCAACAGCTTGAAGTAATTTTTTTAGAGAAAGGCGATAATGATTTAAAAAATTTTACCTTTTCTTGAAAGATTGTAGAGGAGTTGGAGAGGGAAGTTTTATTGAAAACTGAATAATTTTCAGTTCGTCTTTTTTCTCCTTTAACTTCCAGAAGTCCTTGTAGTTGGCTGGGAAGGAGGAGAGGGGGATCATGATTACACTGTGGAGGGAGGTCGTGCCACTGGAGGAGGTACTGTCCGGGTTCTGGATTTCTTTCAACATGTTTCCGGTCATATTGCCGAGACTTCCTGTCATTTTGCCAGGGCTTCCGGTCATTTTGCCAGGGCTTCCGGTCATTTTGCCAGGTTGTCAAAAGATTAAAATCTAAATTTTCATCTTTTAATCTAAATCAGAAATTAATCAAAAAACAATAAGAATTATGTCCAAATAATCTAAATGAAAACACATACGTAAATAGAGAGCGGCGTTTACTTGAGGTGGCATTGAAGATTCCCAATGCTTCTCTAAACGCAGAATTGGAGGAATTGTTATAATGCATGCAGACACAATAAAAATTAAAACATTTATACATGTTGTTAAAATAAGGATTCTAACCAGCACCAAAATTCTTTTTAAGACACTCTTCAATTAGAATCTATTTACATAATATCTAACATAATATCATCACACAGTGTAGGACAGTTTATTCAGATCATTTACTATATTATATCAAGCACTTTTACATAAATTTGTTCTGATGTACTCCTTCGTTTGATTTAGACAATTTAGTTAAAATCAAGATACAATTTGTAACCTCAAATGATACAATTTGTAACCTCAAATGATACAATTTGTAACCTCAAATGATACAATTTGTAACCTCAAATGATACAATTTGTAACTTCAAATGATACAATTTGTAACCTCAAATGATACAATTTGTAACCTCAAATGATACTTGTTCGGAAAATTTCTGGGCCAAGCACTGCGTCCATCAGATGAAGATGTTTTGGGTTAGATTAGGTTAAGACCATCTTTGGGCCGAGCACCGCGGCTGTGACAGGGCTAAAAGGTTTAGAAGATTTTTGAGGTTGCATATTGTAAGAATATGATGATTAATACTTTAACTGCAATATGTATAGTTAACTGTATCAAGTCTTACATAAAGCTATTTGAACTCTTAAAAATCGATTTGAGAACGATATCATTTAAAAAACCGTTAAATTATCTGCAATAATATTAATAATAATAATAATACTCCTCTTATTTTTACAGAAGGAGAAAGGTGGAATACTTATATACAACCATACATGTATTATAGATCGTTAGTAAGGCATTCAACAAGACGGGGGGGGGGGGGGGGGGGGGGGGGGGGGGGGGGGGGAGGGGGTCTTTAAATATATGTTCAATAGGAAATACAAAATCAATTGCAAAAAATATTTAAAATATAATTTTAATAGAACATACAAATTTAACTGTAAAAAACCTTAAGACTCTTGGAGTAAATTTAAAATTAGATTTTAGTTCAAATAATTAAAATCAAATAACCCACGAAACCAAAATTTTTGAAGGCAATGTACATTTTGAAAAATATCACCAGTCAAAGAATAAAATAATTAACCTTTTTTTTAACAAAATAAATAATAAGTCACGGAAGACATGGGTCAAGCATAAGTTACATAAAATAAACAAATTATGTCTTATATATATATATAGCATGCATAATACAGATTCTAAAAGTTAAAAGCAAATTTACAAATGCATAATTGTTATTTAAAGGTAGCTCGTGACTGATAAAACTGATTTTTTTCAAATCTGATTTTTCAACAAAAATAGGAACATGTCCAAAAATATATTAAGTTTTAAATTAAAGGGCATTCTGTAAATACATTAAATAATTTAAATTTGGCAAGAGACAATTTTTACTTTATGTATAATGTAAAACTAGTAGCTATTTTGCTATAAAAAGATATAGGCTTCTTTCTTCGGACAACCTGAATAGGTATAAGAATAATTACATTTTTACAAGAAATGCATTTTAAGAGATTTTCTAGAGTTTCGCGCATTTATGGATCTAAAAAGTTAGCGGATTTTCCGGCACATTGTGGATTTCAGCATTCAACTAACAGAGACATCTCAGGTTTGTTACAGATTCTGAAAGCAGACTTTGTTGTGTAGTTTAGACTGAAAAAATGTGTTTGTTCAAAAGTTTTCGTACGTTTATTAGGAAACCTGAAACGTTTTGAGCTTTTCTGCATAATTATTATAATCATATGATAAATTTATTAATGTAGAATTAACAAATATAAAGAAATCAACCATATAAACAATGTTTTATAGGTATTAAACCACAAATGATAAAAAATAAAGCACATTTTGATGTATAAATCTATTTTTTCTCCACTATTCGTCCATAGAGGCTGAAATGTACAAGGTTCAGATACTTTTTATGAAATACCTTAAATATACTGAAATGTTTTGTTAAGGGTTTAAATATTTTAAAGCTCATTAACCAGAGGCTGAATTGATAAATTTGAGCTGCAGCTTGAATTTGAGACGCGGTTCAATTATGGTTGGTTCCACTCAAATTGTTTTCAATGTTTCAAGGTCTAAGCCGGCGCTCAATTGAAATCAGTTTTAGGAGGATTTGAGACGCGGCTTAAATTCATTAAATTCGGACTCGGGTTAAGCCTTATAGAAGACAAAGTATTTCTTAAAGTTACAATGTTACTCTAAGAGCCCTTAACAGTTTAATCGTCAATCAAAAGAAGCAAAGATAAAAATCGACATCTAAATAATAAAAATATCTTGTGATCAGGTCATGGGCTTGAAAATTACTTTGGTGGACAGCCAGAAAGGTTAAAGAACAATGAAGGTGGCTGAATCTCCACTGCAAAACAATGTAGGTGGCTGAATCTGCACTGCAAAAACAATGTAGGTGGCTGAATCTGCACTGCAAAACAATGTAGGTGGCTGAATCTGCACTGCAAAAACAATGTAGGTGGCTGAATCTGCACTGCAAAAACGGCTAAGATGCACATTGCACACGTTTCATTTAAACACAAACATATTTTTCCGATTGAAAAACTTTTCTTTGTAACAAATGCTCTAATGTTGCTTATAGTGGTCAAGGATATAATGCAAGGAAAGTTTTTTCAGAGGTGTACGCATCTTTTGTACTGTAGTGTACTAGCTCTAGGTGGTAATGTAAACACAAGACGGGAGTCGAAGCCTGACATGGGATCCATCTTTCATACAAAAAATAAATGAAATATTCTGGTCAGAAGAAACTATTATGTGCATAATCAAAATTATCAAAATTTAATGCTTTTAACCTCCTCGGATACTAAACGAACACTGATGCATCTATTCTTGTTTACAAATTCCGCCCAAAGAGAACTGGTTTCAATATGTACTCTTATTGAATCTTAACGTTCCTCTTGTGTCAAATATTTGTGCTGCAGTGGTGGTCTAGCCTGATATGTGAAGATTCAACAGACCCAAAATCTGAATCTTAATGTGCACCTAATTAATTCGCAAACCTTAGACTTACTCACAAGAAATTTTTATTTTACAGCTAATGTAGGTTTTTTCTTTTGATTGTATCTTAAAGAAATACTTAAATATGGCTTTACCTGGTTAATGAGCTCTAAAATATTTCAGTGTATTCAAGGTATTTCATAAGAAGTGTCTAAACCTTTTACATTTCAGCCTCTTATGGACAAATAGTGGAGAAAACAAAGATTTACGCATCAAAATGTGCTTTATTTTTTATCATTTGTGGTTTAATACCTAAAAAACATTGTTTATATGGTTGATTTCTTTATATTTGTCAATTCTACATTGATAAATTTATCATATGATTATAATATTTAAGCAGAAAAGCTCAAATCACTTTGGATTGCCTAATAATCTCATGAAAACTTTAGTCAACGCCTTTTTTGAGTCTAAACTACACAACAAAGTTTGAATGATATTTTCTCAAAAAGGACTCGACAGGGATTTCTAAAAATCTACATGCTAGGTCTAGACTTAGTCTACTTTCAGAATCTGAAAAAAACTCAGGTGTCTCTGTTTTTAAAACCTACTCCATAGCTGAGGTGAACGGTGATTTCCAATCATTGGCGGCTTTCTGGTTTACGGATATTTAAAGGTTGACCGGCTCAACGTAGTTAGCCGGCAGCATACCAGACTGGTTGGTCCTATGAACCGTTCCAGTCATCCAACCTTCGTCAATAAATACAGCGTTAACGATGATGTCCCCGTCCTTGAAGGACACCTCGTCATTATCCTGGGCCTCGTAGTCGTACATCGCCTAGAAAGAAACAGAAATAATTTTAAAATAGAAAATGTAAAAAAAAAATAAAAAATTAGTTAAACTTTTCCACAAAGCTCTTAAAAACTTACAAAGGTGTTAGGTACTTTCCCAAAGGCATTTTTTCACCAAGGGCAACTTCCCAAGTGATAATTTTCCAAATAGAAACTTCCCAAATGTGCAATTTTCCCAACGGCAACGTCCCAAACGCACATTGAAGGTTATGGATAGGCCTCCCCAGGGCTGCAAGAAGGGCCAAGCGCTGGTACTAGAGCAGGTTAGGGGGCTCAGTCTAGAACAAACTTAGGAAGTTGTCGCTTGGGAAATTGCATAATTGTGAAGTTGAACTTGGAAAAATACCCTTGCAAAGTTGCCGCTTGGTAAAATAAAATTGGGAAAGTACCTAAATTCGTTAAAAATGTTCCCATAATCTGTGAAATTAGATTTGTGTTTAAAGACACAGGATTGTTAAGAATTTACGACTAAGAATTTACCTGATAGCATCTATTCCCCTGCCTAGAGGATGGAGGCTGCTGCTGGGGGCCTCCTCCTCGACCTCCTACTCCTCCTGCAACAATTAAAACATGAAATAAAGATATCAAAGCAGGAGTACTTATATGTATATATTTTTTCACTTAATATAATCAACCCCGTCTTCAGAAATTATTATATTCCCCCTCAGCCCTCACACCAGGAGGCAAAAAGTTTAAATTAATAATAATTATAAACATAGGTTCTGACAATGGGGGGTGCTTCTAAGTGTTCTCAAGTAATATTGATTAATTGATTGAAATAATATTTTTCTCAAAATTTGTAATGCTAACAGTCATATCTACAGTTCCCAGGAAGCTGTAGACAAGAAAAACTAGTCTGGTATGCCCTGAATATTCAGAATGAAATGAGGAATACGAATGACTTAAAAGGATAAAAATTTAGTTAAAGGTAAAAATATTAGAAAAGTAAAGACAAATAGCTAGTTAATGTAGATTTTTTCAATCCTGTCCCCCCCCCCCCCATCTTGCGGAGCCAGGCATAACTCTATAAGGAATTTACAACATTTAAAGCAGTTCTTAGGATCCGGATCCGTTGGATCCACAAGATTTTGTCTTCCTGAATCCGTATCCGCAAAAATATCCAAGTGGCACAATATCAACCAAAAACTGAAAAAAAAAACTCTCAAACCCCAAATCTGAATTGTTGAAAAAAAGAGAAATCATCAAGTTTTAGCATACAAATAAGCGGAAATAAAGAAGAAAATAATTTAACAATTCTGCTTTGTCAAAATAATTCAGAAAATCTTTAAGAAATGTTCATGATCTGGATCCATCTTTTCGAATTCGGATCCAGGATCCGCATCAAACTTAAATGGATCCTTAGCACTGATTTAATCAAGCTTAACAAATCAATTGCCCAGTTTTGTCGTAGTAAAACGGAAAACCATGTGTGTGTAGTGTGGACTAAAGAATCAAGTCTAGATAGTATCAAGTTTTAATATGAAAATCCTAACACGGATGTTTCTTCATTTTTATGACTTCTTAATTCTCTCTGAACAGGATTAGAACAATAATACTCCATTGCACGTTTAACAGATCATGTAACTGTTGTTATTCTGTCAGAGTTGTAATATTTTTTTTAGTAGTCTATAGAGGGAGGGGGGGGGATTCTACAATTGCTTGATGTTCAATTGGAATAGAAATGGACTTGGATAATGATTTTCACACAACCCATAAAAAAAGACGACAATTTGAAAATAAAAAATTTAAGTTACCATGCCGGTTTTTGTGCCTTATTTAGCAATTTTTTTTTATTAAAATAGTTTAATATCAAATTAAACACCGAATTCAGAAACGTTAACATTATTAAAATTCATTTAAAATTACAGATTTTTCTTTTACTGGATTACTGGCATATTTTTCTTTTACTGGATTACTGGAATATTTTTCTTTTACTGGATTACTGGAATATTTTTCTTTTTGACTGGATTACTGGAATATTTTTCTTTTACTGGATTACTGGAATATTTTTCATTTACTGGATTACAGGAATATTTTTTTTACTGGTTTACTGGAATATTTTTCTTTTACTGGATTACTGAAATATTTTTCTTTTACTGGATTACTGGAATATTTTTCGCTGGAAGATCACTTTTGTGACATTTTCAGGGAGCCAATATATCTTTTTTGTTTCTACTGATAGTGCATTAAGTTAAACCAGGGATCTGGGCGTCCCTGACACCTTCACCAGGGATCTGGGCGTCCCTGACATCACATTGGAGAAAAAGATTATTTAAGCTAACAAATTCCCCGACAATATAAAGAGATTTTCTTGTCGATTTTAATTTCCTGGATCCTGGATCCGCCCAGCGAAAAAGAAGGATCCGGATCCAGGTCATGAAAAATGAGCATAAGTTAAGATTTGAAGATTTTTATTAGAAAAAAAGGAGAATTATCAAATAAATTTTTTTTTCTGGGCTGCAACTCGATGCAACCATTCAGAAATAAAGAAATTTATAAAAATTCTTTTTTTCAACAAACCATAATTGGGGTTTGTGAGACCAAACAGTATTTTTTCAACACTTTTGATTGATATTTTGCCCCTTGGATCCTAAGAACTACTTTTTCAATTTCTTTAACTGACTAATTTTTCTTTGCTGTGATATTTTCTGTGCAGATTTTTTCACCTGTATGTGAATGCTGTTGCGGTTGCTGTTGAGTGTTTGAAGAGATTCTTCTTTGATCCTGAAATCATTCATTTTAGGATCTTAGTCAATCAATCAATCATTTTAGCATTTCAGTCAATCAATCAATCATTTTAGGATTTTAGTCAATCAATCAATCATTTTAGGATTTTAGTCAATCAATCATTTTAGGATTTTAGTCAATCAATCATTTTAGGATTTTAGTCAATCAATCAATCAATCAAATACAGGGTTGTATATTTTCACGAAAAAAAATTTACCCTTTTAAAAATAATTTTACTCCCAATAAGATATGCATGCCGTCACATACTTTTTTTGGGGTTTATTTTCTGAATTTTGGAAACAAATGATTTTCGGGTAAAAAGTATGAACAAATATAAAAACAGTTGCCTTTAGATGAAGGATAAGCTTACATTATACTGGTGACTAGAAGGATAAGCTTACATTATACTGGTGACTAGAAGGATAAGCTTACATTATACTGGTGACGAGAAGGATAAGCTTACATTATACTGGTGACTAGAAGGATATGCTTACATTATACTGGTGACTAGAAGGATAAGCTTATATTATACTGGTGACTAGAAGGATAAGCTTACATTATACTGGTGACTAGAAGGAAAAGCTTACATTATACTGGTGACTAGAAGGATAAGCTTACATTATATTGGTGACTAGAAGGATGTTGGGATGAAGATGAAGGTTTAGAATTATATCCTGCTCCGGTCGGCTGCGCGGGATTCTAAAAGTATCAGAATCTTAGAGATTTAAAATAAAATAATAACTATCAGTTTTGATCTAATAATCAGAAGTTTCAGAATATCGGGGAATTTACAAAACGTTTTGGCATTAAAGTTTTTCTGCACAAAATATTTCCTTAAAAACGTTTCTACCCCAAAACGTTTCCAGCACAAAACGTTTCCTGCCACAAAAAGTTGCCTAAACAAAATGTTTCCAACGAAAAAAACGTTTCCTCACATTACATTTCCACCAAAAAACGTTTCCTAACATTACATTTCCATCACAAAACGTTTCCTGCTGCAAAACTGGATGTAACCTTCAACAAAAAGCTTCAATTATCAACGTTTCCTTAAAAAATGTTTCCTAACACAAAATGTATCGTGTCCCAAAATATTTCCTGTCAAGTTTCCATTTACAAAATATGAACTGTTTCTTCAGTTTAATCTTTATGGAGGATAGTATGAGGAGACATTTAGTGGAGTTTAAAACAGGAAACACTTTGTAGTGGGAAACGTTTTGTGTCGGGAGTCGTTTTAAGAAGGAAACGTTTTGTGGGGAAACGTTTTGTGACAAGAAGCATTGTGGATAAACATTCTGCGTGGACATCTTTTGTGGTGAAACGTATACAAGTGCTCCAGAATTTTGACAAATCCACAACCGATACAAAATAAAATCCAAAATCTATAAATCCAATCCAAACTCCAAAAAAATCCAATCAAAAATCCAATTCAATCCCAATATGAGTCAAACTATCTTACACAAAACATTGCTTTACAAATAAAAGAAAACTACAGAGAACAATTTTAAAAATTCAAAAAAGAACGAACCTGATAAGCCATTTGCCTCATTTGCTGTTGCTGTAACTGCTGTTGTTGAATTTGCTGTTGTTGAAGTTGTTGCTGTTGAAGTTGATGCCGTTGCATCTGTTGTTGCCGTAACTGTTGTTGCTGAATATGCTGCTGCTGAATAAGTTGTTGTTGTTGTTGCATCTGGTGTTGATGTTGCTGTTGAGGTGGGTTGGCGTAGGGTGGCGGTTGATTTCTGTTGCTAGCAGGGGTAGATCTACTGGCGGGCTGGTTGGTAGTTGTGAAACCGCCGGCGGCAGACCGAGCTGGTGGCGGGACAGAGTTATATCCATAATCTTGCGACACTCTGCCGTGATCTTGGGACATCCTCCCATGATCCTGAGACATCCTTCCATGATCTTGTGACACCCTACCGTGATCCTGCGACGGTCTTCCATGATCTTGTAACACCCTACCGTAATCCTGCGACGGTCTTCCATGATCTTGTGGCAGTCGAACTTGTTCTTGATGGGGTAGAACCTGATCGATCGAAATACGTCCATGATCCTCAGAGATCACACCGTGATTCATATTTTTTACAGGCTCTGGTGCAACAAACTCAGACTGATAGGTTTTTGTGTTCTCCCCCCCTCCCTGGAGACTTCGTTTCTTCTCCATATCCTCCCTGTGCCCCTTGACGTCGTGGTAAGTGATGTTGCTGATGACGTCGGAGTTTGCTTTGATTCTCAAGGTCTCAGGGTCATCAGCGATCTGTGTAAACTTTCCTTTTGTTGCCTCAAACTCTGCATGATACTTGACATTTGACTGAACTTTGCTGTTCTCCGCCAGGCGTTTATTTTCTGGCGTATCCGCCACAACTGTGGCCTTCGCCTTGGGTACATGTGCCCCACAGTATGGTAGCTTGTCAAACCCTGATCATTTTCAGCATTCACATTGGTTTTTTCAGGGGAAAATAACTGATTACTTGTCACAAAGCTTGATTTTACTTATATATATGGCATCCAATTTTAGAACTTTTGTGTGAGAATCTAGGGGACAAGCATTGATCAAAATAAAAAATAAAAATAACATTTAACATTTAACAGGAAAGAGGAGAAGAAAACCAAAAATTTAGAAAAATTAAAGAGTACATTTTAAAAATTAGCTGTAAAATAAAATTTTGGACATCAACTATGCGGCAAGCCCTATTTTTTTGATACTATCAACCCCAAACCCATTTATTTTCTCCAATCAGCAAAATAATGATTTTTCCAAACGAAGTTTCGGCGACAAGTTAATTGTGTCTGCGTCCCTTTATAGTTCTTCATGTTCAAGGTCATGTTGCAGACCTGACACTTGAAGCACGTCTTGTGCCAAACCTTCTCCAAACATTTCAATTCCTCCACTGGATAAACCGTCTACACCAAGAACCACATATTTGTAATATAAGAAAGTAGACAGTTAAGTCTTCAGATTTTGTATCAAGATTATCTATTAAACAAACTAACCTGTGGTCGCAGCGCTCGGTCCAGAAAGTTTCTGAACCTATCCTAACCCTAAATAAATACTAATTTAATTGAAAATTGTTGAAAAAGTGGTCATGTACAAAATTGATAGGAGGGGGGGGGGGGTCCAAAAATCGTTCTTTAGGACGGACCCAACTGTCTCTAAAATTTAAACTATCGTAAAATTTTGAAAAAAATCTAAGCAAAAATTGTTAACTCGCAAACTTTTCTTGTTATCGTTTTGACGAACAGAAACAATAAAAAGTTTAAATAGAAAATGGGCGCGAAGCGCTCTGGTAGCCTAGTTATTAATATGTGCAAACTTTCCTTATCACACTTGGCGCATTTTTTACTCATCTTGTCACCTACTTAACATCGGTGATGGTAAGAGAAACAGATAACTAACTTCTGAAAATTAATTAACAATTAAAATCGAAATCTGCGAACTCCAATTTAGTGTAACCTGCACCCCATTTTCAAGATTTTTGGCCAATTTTATTGATGCTTGTGACCAGTTCACGTGTTAACCCTACGCAACCGAAAAAGGAAACATTGACATGCATATAACTTGAAAACGTTTCGAATAAACCTTAACATATACATGTCGAGCTTTATGCGCTTAATTCTAATCTTCATATATTTTTATTCTTCACATGAAAGCTATGTAACTAGTTTCGCTAAATAATAACTCGTTGACAATCTCTTTAAACAGCGAATTAAACAATAATTATTGTTTGAATGAATTCAAGGTTGGAAAGTTGTTGGTGGAGTAGAGGGGCAGGTAGTCCTGGTTTGGTTTGGTGTAAAACCGGTTTCAAGGCTGGAAACATTTAAACATTAAAAACGCAATTTTAAATTTATTCTAAAAATTATTATCCATTTTCTTATATATCGCACTTTTTTTTCATTTAATAATTTGATTTAACTTTATTAAAAAGTTTATTTGTGTAATGTCGAAGACGACATATTTGTCTGTTAAAGAATTTAACGGGGTGTTCCAACGCGTACAAGTGAAATCAGACAAAATTCACGAAACCAAAATAAACTTGCTTTTTTTGTGCGTTTTATGATGGAAGTTCCTCTTTTTGAGACAAGTTAAACCCTTTAGACCATGCAATCATGATAACTTAATTCTATGGATGGTTGGTGTCCATTTTCTTTTTTATTTATCGTTCAAAATGTCTGTACAATTGTGTATAATTGTAATTAATTTTTCAGATGTTCAAGTTATTTTAAACGATGGATGGAGACAGGGAATCTCCGACCTCTTCACCAGCGCCAGGTTTTCTATTTTTTTTTTTTCAAATACCAGGTTTAATTTCTCAACCTAATGATGTTCGCAGATTACTTTTTAATTCAGCCATTAAATGAATAAAAGTTTTCCACTGTTAAGGTGTTTAAAAGATGATCGGCCCAGCTACATTTTAAAACGTATTTTAGGTTTCCTTAACTAATATGGAAATCGCTTGGGTCCGTCCTGGAGAGCGATTTTTGGACTCCCCCTCCTTTCAATTTTGTACATGACTATTTATTTTTCAGCAAATTTATTATTATTTATTTTTTTTGATAAATAATGGGTTGTCCCAAAAGTTGACAATTATGTTTAAAAGATATCTGTTATTATTAAAAAAATATGTATATTTATTATATCATAAATGAATATAGGGGTTGCTGAAGAAATGGATGACGCTGAAGAATCTGATATTACTGATGGAATAGACGAAGCTGATGGACGGTTTGATGAACTTGACGCTGCTGAAGCTCTCCCTGCTTCAATTCAAGAATATGATTACAGGGAACAGTCTTCTCAATTCAGATTCTTATTATTATTATTATTCTTTTAATTATATTTGCACTATTTTATAATTTACAATCAATTGTGGATGGTATAAAAGCTTTAAATAAACATTGCTTGGCAGCAACAGATATTCATGTTTTCGTAGATTCTTTGTAGCTTTTGATGGAAAGTTTGAGAATGGGACTTAAATTTCCTTTAACAATGCTTTTCGAGCTATTTATCAAATATGGCCCCCAGAAAGTTTTATCTAAATAACTTGCCAAAAACCAAACCCAAAAGACTGACTTAAATAGATATTCGGGAGAGAGAAGCACTGGTCCATCCTTCTCCTTCAGTAGGTCACGGAGATCAGGGTCTCCAGATCTGGTATCAGAGTCCCTCTCATCAGGTATCCACTATTCACAAGATCTATGTCAGATCTGGTATCAGAATCCCTCTTAATAGGTATCTAATATTTAGTATATCAATGTCAGATCTGGTATCAGAATCCCTCTTATCAGGTATCCACTATTCAGTAGATCAATGTCAGATCTGGTATCGGAATCCCTCTTATCAGGTATCCACTATTCAGTAGATCAATGTCAGATTTTGTATCAAGATTATCTATTAAACAAAGGTATCCCTATGGACTGAATATGAACCAATATATAAAAACCTGAAGAGAATGAGAAATGGTCCCATTCCTGGCAGACTGCCCAGCAGTAAATCTCCTTCCAAAAAAACGGGGCCATTATCTTCAGATAAGTTTCGAGCGTATGGGGATCCCCATCCCAACTTCATAGGATGAAGGGTTGACATTTATTAATAAGAAAAAATAATTGATTTAAGCGAAAGCACGGTCCTAATGTATGTAAAGGATATTCTTAATTCAGACAAGGTACTGGTATAAACTTATTTAAATACCACCTACAGGATGAAAACAATAAAGTACTAGACCTATACATTGCCTCCTATTTTATATCAGATCCAACCATTATTTATTTATGAGGTTCATCCTTTCAATATCTGGAGAGAGATCCTGAACCTGTTTCTGCATCTTTATCCCCTTATAGGTAAGTAGTATATCTTTCTTCGTCCTGGCATTAATATACTTCCTTTTCTTATATATTTTGAAGTTGAAGATACAAACAAGGCAATAAATTCCTGAAAGGTTGTTGATGAAATCACTTTATTCATCATTAATTTTTTTAAATTGGCATATTATTAAGAGGGTAGTTCACAAATGAATGGCATTTCCGCTGAAACTGATTAACTTGAGGAATTATTTAAGATTGCGTAGAAGGTCCCCAGAAAGGGGAACAGTCTCTGCATCCTATGTTAACATAAACGTGGATTCACCAGAAGGAATGGAGTGTGTATCTGCCTCATTGTCTGAACCAAGCTTAAGATTCTCTGAAGAGAGAGAGGCAGTGGAAGATTGTCCCTCTCCAGCCCCTTCTAACTCAGGTAGTAAGTTCAGAAGAGAGCACAATAATTTATTGGACTAACTTTGTTCTGTTGGGGGCTAAGAGGATTTGAAATTAAGGAATTAGAAAATCTGCCTTATTTTACTGAAAAGAAAAAAATGCTAATGCATATTTATTATATTAACTTCTATAACTTCTCTTACACCTCCTTAGTGGTCCTAGGAGTAATCCAAAAACGAAACAAAAAAATTCAAAATAGTTGAAATTATTAATGCTCTTTTAAATGCTGTTTTGAATTTATAATTCTATTTAATTAGTTTTAATTTCCAGAAATAAATTTAGGGTTAGATGTCACGTTTGAAAATGGTCCTGTCCTTAGACATCAACTTTCAACCTGCACCCCATCCAGTTCTGGATCAATCTTATCCGCATCCCTTTCCAACCTTCAGGAACCACAGGTTAGTCTCTTCCATCAATCTTATCCTCATCCCTATTCAACCTTCAGGAAATCTTATCTTTTCTGTCCTTTGGGAGATGGAAGGTTTGTGAAAATGGTTTAACTGGTTTAGGAAAAGTTGATGCCCCCTTGTTGTATTATTCCTCTTATCATATTGTTTTGGCATTCACACCCAATTACCTGTTACTATTTTTAGACATCAGATCTGGGAATGGATCCTATATTTCCTCTTGATAGTGGAGAATCTGCTTCTCCTTTCTCATCTCAGGCCCCACCAGGTATACTCTAACCAAGAACACCTTCTTTTTGTCTATAATATTTTAAGATTTTAAAGCATCTTTTTAAGTTTTGTTGTTTAGTTTCATCATGGCCTGGGAATCAGGATCTTCCAATATCGTCAAGTTGGGCTGAAAACACCTCAGAATGGCCTGGATCACATTATGGGCGAAGAGCAGATCATTCGCAGAACAAACAAGAGGAAAGTCAATCTCTGTTTAGGAATGGAGTTGGTCAGTCTCAGTTAAGAAGTGGAAGTAGCCAATCACAGTTCAGAAATGGAGTGAACAAATCACTGCAAAGGAATAGTGCAGAGCAATCTCAATATAGAAATGGAGTGGAACAACAGCAATATAGAAATCAAGAGGATCAATCACAATTTAGTGCAGACCAATCAAACTACAGAAATGAAATGAACCAATCACAGTACAGAAATGAAATGAACCAATCAAACTACAGAAATGGGATAGACCAGTACAGAACTACTACATCAGGATGGAACTCAGTTACAGATTGGGAAACATTGCCAGGAACTTCAGGTGAAGAATGCGGAATGGTTTTATTAAAACCTTTTTTTAAATGAAATCAATGATATCTAATTTTTAGGAGCCGCTTCAATATCTTTGCGATATGGAGCAGAAGCAGCACCTGTAGTAGCTTCTAGATCTAGACCTGTAGGAGCAGGAAGAGTTGAAGGTTGGGAAACAGCAGGAAGTACTAGTTCTAGAAATAGCTTTAATCCTTCTGAAGCAGGACCTTCAATCAATAGATCTTCTGGTGGTGCCCACATTTTGAACACAAACTCATCTAGCAGAGGAGCCAGTGGTTCAGTAAATTCAAAACCTGTAATGGTTTCCAGCATGAAGGTTTTAGACACTGTACGGTCTGCTCTTGGTCTACCAGGACAAGTTAACTACTCCAGAAGTTTACCTCAGCAAACTTGCTCTATTTCATCTGCTTCAGGTTCATTAGCCATTGAACTAAGAGAAAAATTATACTTTCGAAAAACAAAGATGCTAAAACTAAAAAAAAAATTTCACACTTGTAAACTTTTAGATTCCTTGTTATATCAACAATCTGATGCAGGAGAATCAAATCACTTATTTTCATCCCTTACTTTCTCCAGGTATTTCAATAAGGGGCTCCAAGAAGTGTTACTTTTACTGTAGGTTGAATAATGATAATAATAATAATAATAAGACCTAGACTGTTTGGCTTGAACTAGTATCTTTGGAGGTTGAGCTTTAATTCTTTGATTTTGGATTTTATATCTAGGTCTGATATAGTGTTTTGCATACAAACTCTTATTTAAAGGACCTAAGACACCAGTTCAATGATACCCTTTCGATTACAATAATGATTGTTAAGATTTTAGTTTTAGTTAGGACAAGTTACAGGTGTATTTCTATTTGTGGTTTGAGCATTTGTATTTTAAGTGAGGGAGTTCATGTTACAGTTTTGCAATGGTTTTCCATTTAAATTTTAGATGAGTTTACCTTTATTGTTTGTTCAGGATGAGTAGCAGGATTGGAAGTAGTGAGATATCTCAGTATTCGCCTGGATTTGGTTCAATGAATAATGAACCAGCCCAAACAGGTTTCATGCATTTATAATTGAAATCTATACATTGATTAATTCTTTTATTTTATCAAATTGTCTTAACTAATCAAACTATTTTGTAAAAATTATGACCAGAGGGTCATGAACAAAGATAAAACTAGCTGTCATGTAGCCTATACTTCTAATTCAACTAGGAAAGCTCAGCTTTAAACGACCATTTTGAATATTATAGAATAGGTTTACACAAAGTTTAAAGTCTTCAATTTCTGTAAGGATATTCAGTGGTATTAATGCTAGGATTTTGACCTTTTTTACAAGTGATGTCATAATGTCTTATTTCGGCAATTGCATCTTGTTTGATGGGAAACTGCAATTGGTTGATCTAACTGATCTCAATGGTTTCAGGACTCACTGGTTCATCGTACAGTGAAAAAAAATAGAACTCAATTTACAATCCTTAGAAAGTCAAAGACTCCGCTATGATTTAATTGAAACCTACAAAATTATTCGTGGTGTTAATAATGTTGATAAATGTTCGTGGTTTTTAATGTTAGCAGATACATCAAAAAGAATTACAAGAATGTCAGAAAATCCTCTTTCACTTTGTGCCAATTTTTGTAGAACTAATATTCGTAAACATATTTCTTTAGTCTAAAAGTTGTTTGTAACCGTGTGATATAAAAGCTGCGCCAACGTCGTTCACTTTTAAATCTAGATATAATAAATATTTCTAAAATTCTAATCTGCTCAAGTTTCTATTGTTGGGACAAAAAGAACCAAAAAAAGATTACATAAATCGAAAACAGAAACACAAATTTTCAAAAAGGAGCAAAGTCAAAAAATAAAAAAATTTGAAAAAAATGTACCAAAGAAGAAAAAATGACTGATATTTTTAATCTTCATTCACTAGATATTCGTAAATATTGAATATAATAATTTTTGCATATTAATGGGATTTATTCATCCTTATGAATAGCATGACAACAATCTCAAATTTTAATATATACTCCGCCAAGAGTCCTGAAAACAATCATAACATGAACAATTAATCTTTTTTACTTTTTTTTGGTTGAAATTTGCTTGCTATAATGATTTTTTTTCCTAAGGTGGATCTGTTTATGGATCTGGAGTTGAGAATATAGATTCAAGATTGGGTGAAAGAGGAAGACATGAAGGAGCAGCTGGATCTGTAGAGGATCTCGGAGGTGTAAGAGGATATGTTGAGAGTCAAGGAGGTTCTGATAGAAATCATGTAAGTGGAAGTCAAGCAGGAGCTTCAGGGAGTCAAAGAGTAGCAGGTGGAAGTTCTGTCCAGGCTAGTGGAGGTCTAGTCATATCAGATTTAAGTAGAAATGAGTGTTATGGAGAATTGGGAGGAGCTAGTGGAAGTCAAATGTGTGCTAGTGAAAAAGGCGAGGATGGCGAGCAACAACCTGGTCCCAATTCAAGTGTGGCAGGTATGATATACTTCTTTTGAGGATGGATGCTCATTTTATTGTTTAAATTTTGTTCTTTCATCTTATTGATACCCTAAACTAAACAAAAAATTCATTCTTGTTTTTTCTGATTTAAATTCTTCTGCTGAAGTTTAATTTTTCAAGGCTCAAGTCGAAAGAATTCTCCTTCCACAACCTCTAACTCCTCAAGAGCATCAGCTAGATCAACTGTTACTACAAGATCAACACCAGCCAAAAGATCAATAAATTTCCCGGATTCCCCAGCTCCGGAGCCTAAACGATCAAGGCTGATGCAGGAACAGGTTAGACCGGATTCTCCCAGTGTTAACCCAGATTCTCATCCCTCCAGGGATGAGGGAGAGGCAGGAGGCAGTGGTATTAATCTGGATGTTCCTGATGATGACAGGTGTCTAGGAGGTGCTGATGGGAACTCTATTGATGGTGGTGGTGGTGGGGCTAGAGAAGAGTTAACTGGAGTGAATAGTAGTGAACCTGCTGCCTCCTATTCTTCACATTTATGGCGGAGTCTGGATAGATTTGCAGAAACTGAACCAGGTAATTGTGTAAAACTGTTGAAGGAAGTTGAAGGAAGCAAAGGTATGGTCTTTATTTGTTTGAACATTTGATTATGTTGATTATTAGATACTATGATTATTTAAACTGTGATAAGCTGGAAGCTGCCGACTATGGCAGTGTCCTAGGTAATACTATCCATCTTTAGGACTTAGACCTGGTAACTATTTACTTATAGTAATAGTATTCATTTAAAAAATTTATCAAGATCTGTTTTCATTTTTCTGATTAATTGATTAATTAAAAATCCTTAAGGTCCAAGTGAAGCAAGATCTGTCTCAAGTCCTAGCAGTGAATCTCGAGGAACCAGATCTAAAGCTGACCCTGCCTCCAGGCCAGGTCATAGTAGTGGCCCCAGCTCAATACAGGACCAGGGACCTAGTCCCAGTAATGATTATGGACCAAGTCCGAGTAATGAGCTTGGTCCAAGTCCAAGCAGTGAACTGGGACCAAGTCCAGGGGATCGGAGCAGGGTTGGTAGTACAGATTCAATAGTTGCAAGTCCAAGGTATGAGGAGGACTGGGACGGACCTAATCTTGTCTCTGGGTCAGAACTCAGCTCAGGACAAAGTAATCCTATCTCACGAAGAACATATTCAGAATCAAGGAAACTTTGGAATAATTTTTTTTCAGTTCTAACCACACCCCCCCCCCCTTATGAATAAAAAACTCGTAAAAGGGACTGTAAAGGAAAAATGAAAGTGGGTATAGGCGGAAACCTAAGCATTTTAGGAGTTGATCAAGACCATGAGAGTTCTATCTGATGTTCTTGTCAAGAGAAATTGATATAAAACTGTGTCAAAATGAAATGAAAATCTACATATTTAAAATTTTGTATAAAAATAGTAGGCTTGAATGGATCATATTCAGCAAATACACAACCATGCTGAAAATGACGATATCCCAGAGAAGCCTAATAAGAGCAAACCTAAGTTTATTAGGCTCCTCTGATATATCGTTGTTTTCATATTGGTTGTGTATTTGCTGAATAGGATCCGTTTAAATCTACTATTTGTATACAAAATTATGTATATTTATAGATTTTCGTATACATTTTACGCAGTTTTATATCAATTTCTCGAGAACATCAGATGTCTCATGGGTCTCGTTAAACTCCTAAAATGCGTAGGGTTTAGTCTATACCACATGTCATTATTCCTTTACAGTCTCTTTAATAAATTTTTATTTCAAAAAATGATTTCTTTAATGTTTTTCTTTCATCATAATTTATTTCAATATGTTGATTTTTCTTAAAAATGCATTTTTATTAAAAATTGTATTCCTTTGTAATGAATAGTGAGGCCGAGGGTACTGTTACCTATAATAGAGACGCGTACATGTTGCCGTTACATCTTCATATATCTAATCCAGGTGATTAATTGATTGTGCGGATTGATTGATATTTTGATATATTGGTCAATAATTGATTTGAGTGATTTTTGTCCAATTGATTGATTTGAAGATGATGGCGTGTTGGCAAGATATTAATTAATTAATTCATATTCATTCATTCATTTATGCTTTATCTTACCAAGGGTAAATGGGGCAATTATTTTATGAAAATGCGCAAATTCATCTTGCACCAGTTATAAAGTTTTACTTAGATACAATTAATTTTTTTAAAACTTTTTTTTGTGTTGATCAAAACACTAATGTAAAAGAGAGAAAAATTCGTGAAAATAAATCAAAATTGGTATTGAAAAAAACGGGTATTGAAACACTTCATTCAGAATCGTTAAAATTGTAAATAAAACCTTAAAAATGAAAATAAAACGGGGCTTGGAAAGAAAATAGTGTTAGCCTGAAAACAAGCAATTTTTTTAATTTAAAAATGTAAAATGTTAGCATTACCCTCCCTATTGAGTATTGATCCACGTTTTTCATTATTCGATAACTGAATGAGTTTTGTTGTTTTTCAATTGATTTTCTTAAATGAATATTGCTTTTAATTTGAGTATAAGTTTATCTCAGTGCATAAAAAGGATTTTACATTTCGAAGAAAAAGTTTTACCCTTAGTGAAACCATTTTATTTGTAAAATACAGAGGAGGGAGGTCATCATGATTCTGGAAGCGAGGTTAGTGAGTCTGGACCAGGTGAGGTTGGACCTGGACCTAGTCAAGCTCGCCACCATCAACCTCAACCTCCTTCACCCTCGGAGAGTGATGCTAGTGTTCCGGAATCCAGTCAATACAGGTTTATACTAAATATTGTTCTTGTTCATGTCTTTCGATGTAATCTCAAGTGTCCTTTAATTTAAATAATTACATTACATACACATTTCAGCAAGCATGGGTCACTTAAACCTTCATATATTATGTTTTAAAGACTAGGAAGAAAATGAATAGAATCGGTCTCTTTTCACGATATTTTTTATTCCTCTTTGCTACTCTGATACCGTTATTACCGTTCATTTACCTTCTTGTTAATCTCATTTTATGCAACTGAACACTTTTCATCAAAAATATTAATCATTGTTTTCAATTAAAGGTAAAATAATTGTTTATGTTGTTACTTACTTTTTTTTATTCAGAGCTGGGAACTTTTAATGTTTGGAAAAAGTTAACTCATTGTCATTTCTTTCTGGGAAATTTAATAGTTTGTCTTTGGTCAAATCCACGAATTTTTATCTTTTCACAAGGAGAGAATGAGTTTAGCTCATCCTGTCCAATTAAAAGTTCTCAACTCTAAATATATCTCTGACAAATGTAGGGAGCTTGATACGAGTCCTCCAAACTCCCCGTCTGGAAGTGAACTTGACGAACCCGGACCTAGCTTCAGTCCTCTTCACGTCTCACGCTCCCGTCCTGCTCTTCCTGGTTCAAACTTCAACAATCCGGCCTCCAGCTACCCGGCCTCGAGCCATCCGGCCTCTAGTTTTAGCAATCCGGCCTCGAGATATCATAATCCTGGGCCTAGTTACTACTCAAGGCAATAATTGTATCCAGCAATAGAAATGTTTTTTATTTGTAAAGGGATATATAATTATTAGAAAATCATTTTTCTCTGTCTCCCTCTTAAACTGCATTTTTTCCCATAGATGTTAATTAAGCCTGTATCCTGTAAATCCTTGATATGAGGTTTTATTCGCTGAAGTGCGTTAAAACTTCTTGTCTTTGTAGTTTGTTAACAATACAATGAGTGTAGGTGGGTTCAAAGAGCAGAGTTTGGTAGAGAAGCTGCACCTGCTCATAGAGCACCTTCCCCTGAACCTTACAGGTATACTTTGCCCATAGAACACTATATCCCCTGAACCTTGAAGGTATACTTAGCTCATTGAGCACCTTCCCCTGAACCTGATAAGTATACTTAGCTCATTGAGCACCTTCCCCTGAACCTTACAGGTATACTTAGCTCATTGAGCACCTTCCCCTGAACCTTTCAGGTATACTTGGCTCGTTGAACAATGAACACCTTCCGAACCTGATAAGTATATTTAACAGCAACAACTCAAGCTCTCTTAAACTTAAACGGAGGGAGCTCAAGCCTACAACCTAGATTAAAGGTTTGACAGCGATTATTATTATTATTATTATTATAACCCATAAATCATAATAATGAAAATAATAAGTTTGCAGAATACATTAGTTAGGTTTTATTTTAAATAATGTAAAATGTTTAGTTTTATTTGCAAAATAATACTTGCAGCTAAGCTAGTTTACTGTCTAGGTATAGATCCCGAAATCATTACTCTGATCAGTGCCTGATCAGTTCCTCCACGGGACCCTCCGATTCTAATCCTACGACGCCTCCGACCCCGGAGTATATCCAGTCTAGGGATATAGATAATGATATATCCTCTTCCCCTCGTCATATTCAACACAGAAACTATAGGTAAAAAAAACAGACTTTTAATTTAATCTGTCGCCTTAAAAGTAATTCCATATAGAGAGTGGCATGTACGATTTTCAACGGTACCATTAAATTTAAAGCTTTGTCTGATCAAGAGTGCACAAGATTTCAATTACCTTCTCTTTGAAAGTTGATTATTTTAAATTATGGTTGTTGCTCTACAACGTGACTTGCGCATTTCTGCTCCAGAGCTATAGGAGGAAATTGTCAGAATTAAACACAATATTTAATATAGGCGAATCGGACATTCCCCATATTTAAAGGAAGGGTCACCTGAATTTACAATGACAGTCCCTTCAAAGTCGCATTTGATTTAAATTGATATTATTTGATTTTTCATACGGAAGCGGAATTTCTTGACTATTGAGAAACGACTTGAAAAGCTAGAGATCCCATTCATCTAATAAAGGTCAAAACGGCTGAACCGATCAGGTCCACATTTTTTGTGGCAACTCACGTGACCTTTACTAATTTTCGAAAAGCATCAATCAAATATGAAAAAGTCACGAAAATGTGAAAACTATTTAAAATGGCAAATTTCAGAAAGCTGAATTGTTACCAGTCCTTTAGCTTGGTTCTTTATAATTATGTATCTATTGTAGAATGGACGAGGACAATGTAGTCGACAGTACAGTTGACAGTACAAGCGGAACTTTTATGATTCCTTCCCCTGTATTCCAGGGAAATGAGGTAGGATTTTTATGAGTCCATTTAGGTCCTTTAGGTTTTCTTTTAATAAGAATTTTTAAGCGAGGTCAATATAAGTTCTAACTTCTAACTATTTGTAAAAGAAACTTGCCGAATATCAGATTGAAAAATAAGTGTATCTTTATCCATATGGAACTTTTGAAACGGAGAGTGACTTGAAATTACGTTTAAAATATCTATTCCTAGGCTGAACATGACGGAGACAGTGATTCTGATATGAATGATTCTGAATCTATTGCTGGCAGTGAGGCCAGCAGTACAACAGCCAGCCTCAGGAAACTTATATTTTAGATTCCAACCAGTGCCATGTTTTAAAGAGATCTATATTTAACTTCTTAGAGGTGTATACATATATTTTGAAAAATTAACTCCTTCACCCTTCGAGAGATTTTTTTTTGGGGGGGGGGGATAAAAAGTGGACATTAATCCGCAAGTTTTTCCCCTGGTTAAGTCATTTTATCCAAAAATGCTTTTTACAAGTTACAAATAAATCACTGTTATTTAAATCTGGGAAGAAATCATCATCATTGGAGTATTATTGGAGACCCCCTGGCCGTCTCGTTGGAGACCCCCAGATTTTCATTGGAGACCCCCACATTTTTATTGGGGACCCCACATTTTCGTTGGAAACTCCAATATTTTCGTTGGAGACCCCCACATTTTTGTTGGAGACTCTAATATTTTTATTGGAGACCCCAATATTTTCATAGGAGACCCATATTTTCATTGGAAACCCCCATATTTTCATTGGAGACCCCCATATTTTCATAGGAGACCCCGTATTTTCATTGGAGACCCCACATTTTCATTGGAGTAGGGAGCGTATAACGGGAGGTAGGGGGAAGGGAGTTTGTAACGGGAGTGGTGGGGAGTAGGAAGCTTATATATAAGAAAATTTGTAGCTTATGGGGTGAAAATATAAGGAAAGGGAATGGTTTTCCATAAAAACTAAAAAAATCCTAGAAGTGTGAGTAGCGAGCAAAATGAAGAACTTGAAATAATATATTTGTTTTGTTAGTGAGCACACTTATAACATGCCGGGCTTGGACGATAACGAGGGAATCTCTACCAGTGGACAGGTAGATTTTAGACGCCATTTTATTTTTCATCATTATTTTTCTTCTTGACAGACCCGTCCCGTGTTTTAATGTAATAAGGGTCGACACTCGACACTCATTGTCACCGAAGTGTTTCCAAAATGGCTATTTCCCACATTCCAGTGATCGGCGTTTTTATCTATTGATATTGAAGACAACTTTTCTATTTAGGTTTTATTTTCTAACAAGCTTTACAGTTTACAAGTTATCAAAAAGGAACTGTTAATTGTCAGGTTCTCTTTAAAGGGCGGATACAAGGCGGAGGAAGGTGGGGGTACCTTCGTGGGGGATACCCTCGCACCACCCCCCTGACGGATCAAGGGGGGGGGGGGTGACGCCAACCCTCTGAGATTTTGAGGCAAAAAATGTTCCCAATTTGATAAAATAATGTTCTTAATTTGATTAATCGTATGTTTTTCAAGTTATTTGAAGGAATTATGATTAAATACAAAAACAAAAAAACTTGGTATGTCAAATCCTAGAAAAGAAGATACGTGCTTAGAATTAGGAACAAAACCAGGTAAGTTAAGCAATTTAGGATTTTAGGAACACGGTTCACAAAAAAAATTATGAACATTATAGGTTTTAAAAAGGAACAATACAATAACACAAATGTGAGGAACATTGACTATTGAGCCAGCTAGGAACAATAAAAAAACTAGGAGCTTAATGCATGCATTAAAAACATAATAACAATAAGTGAAATACATAATCTAAGGAACAATAAAAGATTGTTAAGAAATGAGGAACACAAATTAAGGATTTAAGACAGGGCTTTAGGGTCTAGGGACACAGTATTAGGAATAGGAACAATAATAGAAATATTAAGCAAGATACAAGTAAGGAACAACAAATTCAAGAACTAGGAATGTAAGTCGTAAAACATGAAATAATGATCAACAAATGAGATACATCTTACAGGTTTATTAATCAAGGAACAACAAATGCAAACATACATATGCGCATTGTGGTAAAAACGTCATTCAAACTGTACATGTATTTGGAACAGTAGTCAATAATATGAACATAAAACAAGTTAAGACTAAAAAGAAATTACTAGGAAAGATATTTGCGTGTAAATTAGGAACAATATTGCAATTTTGATTGAGTAGTAAGGCCGAAACATTACTATGCATGCAAGTTATATAGGAACAATATTATAATATAAGTCTTCTCCGGGCCCGTATCCAAGGAGGGGTGCAAGGGGTCAGGTGCAACCCCTTTCTCCTAAAATGTGGGTGCAACGGCGAATTTGGACCCCCCCCCCCCTTTAAATAAGTTGTTTGGTATATTCTTTTCTTCAAAAAAAATTTGATTATTTTGTATAGTATATTTACGATCCGAAAAAAATGTTTGATAAAGCTGTTTCCTCAGACCAACAAAGTAAAACCTTTTTTTTTTGAAAAATATTTGTCCTGAGTCAAGATTTTCTGATTGAACTGGTTTGTCGTTCTTTCGCTTATGTCGATAAAATGTAACAAATAAATAAATAAACTCTTCCAGTATGAATTAAAAATTCAATTCCTTGAATTTTGCAGAAACTTAAATTGCCTCAGTTTCAACATTTTGTCCGGACAATATAAAATCAGTGAACGTGAGTAGTAATATCAAAATTATCAACATTCAGTGTCATCCAACATTGTAAAATTTAAGATAACAATTATGAAAATTTTCTGTTTACAATACGAAAAACCAAATTCAGGGAAAATCGAATTTTCATTGTAACATTAAGTTCAAGCTAAAATTACTTATGTTTAAAAAAAAAAATAAGAATATTCTACATAACATTTAATTTAAGCTAAAACGACTAGTTTTCATACCAAAACTTTAAACAAAATTCTACGCAAGGTGCCCCCTTTCAACCTCCTGCCTTGCTCAGTACGTTTCACTCAGTGATCCTGGGCCCATATTAAAACACCTCAGAATTTGTTTTTCCTAAATAGAGATTTTTTTGTACCTAAAAAATTCAAGTACCTCCATCGCTGAACTCCTGTGTCCGCCCCTGTTCTCTTTGTTTCCATGTTTGTGTGTATGAATGCTGTTTGAAAGATTGGTAGAAATTTAATTTGAAATCGAAAGTCGTTTGATATATACGACAGCGACTCTAGTTCCCATGTTTTTACGGAATATGCCGGCTAGTTCTGAATCTTTAACTATTTAGGTGGATAACGGAACGTTCCGTCTTGTTCCGAATGACTATGAGGTTGAGGGTAGAGAGGGTAGAGTAGGGGATACGGTTCCGGATATTCAAGGTACAGTATTGTTCTACAAAGTAACGGAATTCAATGAGAGTAGAAGTAAGGAGAGGGCGGGTAGAGTAAAAAAGTAAGGAGAGGGCGGGTAGAGTAAAAAAGTAAGGAGAGGGGGAAGGGTTTGTCAATTAACTAGATTTGTTGTTTTCATTCAAACCTATTCTAATGTAAAATGTGAGAAACCAGGTAAGGGAGAGAATTTTAAGGGGAGGGAGGGTGAAGCTTGTATCAAGGGAAGGGGGAGAAGGGAGTTTATAGCGGGAGGTAGGGGGAAGGGAGTTTTTAACGAAAGTGCTTGGGAGTAGGAAGCATATAACGGGCGTGGTGGGGAAGAGGACGCTTATAACGGGAGTGGTGGGGAGTAGAACGCTTGTACCTGGGGACAGGGCAAAAAAAGCCATTAAGGGAGGGAGGGAGGGAGGTGAGAGTCGGGGCTAGTAAGGGGGCAAGGGGCGTAAAAAGATTGCAACAGGGTGGGGAGTTAGGCTTTGAAAACTTGCATCCCTGTAGTTTCTTTTATTTATAAATCTAGGAAGTATATCCTCCGATGACGGAATAGAATCCCTGGGTCAGTGCAGTGACCAGGAAACTAACCCCAACACCTTCAAGAGACCCTTCAACAGAAAGGGCAGGCTTATAGACAACTATGAAAACGAACATGATCCTGTTCCTGGACCTTCAGGTTCTCCGGGTCCCTACTCAGGGTCCTCCCCTGGACCATCCCCTTCTCCCTCTAGCAGAAGCTCAAGTTTAGACAAGATACCTGTCTACACACAGGTACTTAGATCAAATTTGTAAATTAACCTTTTAGATAATTTTCTTTTTCTGTAAATCTTTATTTTTTTTATAGTTTTTTAAGATTTTAAATATTAACTTCTTTATTTTTCAGTGGAAAAAAATTAGTTGGGGGGAAGAACTTTTAAAAAGAAAGTAAAAATGTCAATATTTTCCGTTTTCTTTTAATTCATAAAAATGATTTCAGAAGTTTATTGAATTTTTATGTTTAATTTAGGGATCATTATCTTTATCCTTGGTTAGCTCCGGGTCTGATTCATCAATATCTCCGCCGTCAGCACTTGGCTCCGCCAGGCCCAGTGTTTCCCTGTTCCCAGTAAAGTCTAGTTCTAAGGGAGGGCGGAGTGAAGGCGGAGCTCGTAGTTTAGAAGATGATATTGCAGGGAGGAGCTATGCTAGCTTAGGTAGGAGATAGTTATAGAAACTCATTCATTCACCACATCTTGACATTTACCACTCATTCACTCTCGCACGCATTCACTCCCCCACTCAGGCATTCGCCAATTCATTCACTCATTTACTAATTCACTCATTGACTCACTCTCTCATTAACATATTACTAATTTACTCATTACTTCCACACTCATTCAATCAACCACTTATTCAATCCCTTACCTATTCACTCCCTCACTTATTCACTCCCTCACTCATTCATTCATCATTCGCTCCAACAAATCTTTGAAAATCTTCATCCTTACTTTTAAGCACATTGTACAGTGTTCAGTGTCACTATGTACTGTACATTTTACAACCCTGTGTCTTTGTGTACATATTCCTGTGTAAGTTATTTACATTGTTTTGTACTGTCAGTACTTATTCATCTATTTTAAGGTGCACATTATGCATTACTACACGCATGATTCAAATATGAAAAGAATTTTATTTCTTAAAAAGAATTTCTTTTATAATCCCATTTTCTTAGAAAACAGATTTTATCAGATTTGTTTGAATCTAATCTTAATATCCTCCAACTGATAGTATATTTTTAGTTAAAATATGATGCGGGATAATTTTAATTACCTTTAACTCAGAATTTAAGAGTTGTCTCTTTCTGAGCTCAAGTTTAAGGTTGCAGTGAAAGTTAATAATAATTATATGCCTTAATTTATTAATAGGCAAAATCATTTTCCTTAGATTTTTGGATTTTCATGTAAAATAGTGTTTCATACAGTGGTAGGCGATTGTATCAAAACAATGAAGACGACTGTTTTAAAGTTTTGATCTAAGCTTTTTTCGAATTAAAAGTTTGTAAGTAATCAAAGAAAAGCTTTTTTTGATTTACAGCTTCTCTTGGCCTCTATGTTTATGTGTATCCAATAGCCATGCTGTTTAAAAGCTTAAATTAAATCAAAGTCGTCTTCTTTGTATTGATATATTCGCCTACCACTGTTTGAAAAAGGCTAAAATTTTAACTTTAATCTGAAAAAAAATCGTTTTTGGTTCAGTTTTTGGACGTTCCTTCTCTCCGGGATAAAATATGGCATATATAAGGAAAGCAAATTTTCAAAATTTTTGACATACTTTTTAATTGTTTTTTTTTTTTTCATAAAAAGATCAGAATTGGACTTTTTTATTTACAACATTTCTGACAATGTATTTTCAGGAATAGGTCTAGCATTTTCTGGTCTTCCAAGTAGTCTTGTGGTTAACAATCATACAGAAAATAAACCTGAGAAACAGATTTCTGGACCTCTCTCAAAGCGTCTTCGGACCCGGCACATGCAGGAGGTTGCCAACCAGGGTAAAGACGAGGAGGTTGATATACAACTTGTTGAGAAGGTTGAACCCAAACCTGAACCAAACCTTGAATCCCGTCCTTCTGTATCTGTGATACCCATCCCCAGTCAAGAACCTGAGCCTGGACGGTCAGGTCGGGATATTATACCTGTCAGGCCTTCTGAGAACCTTGAGGAGGTGATTATCCTTAACCCTAGTCCTGCTCAGGGTACACAGGAGGAAGGAGAACGGCAGGGTGATAACCAGGAACGGCGTGGAGAGAATCAACTTTTGCTCGGAGGAACTCAGCAAAGCTTCAATTTAATTATCCAATCCAACAACATCCCTTTAGCCGAACTTAAACCGAAAAAACTTTTACAGAAGAAGTCTGCCATGGAGCTTAGAGAGTTGTTTGATTTGGATTCTCTGAAAAATGATGCCTCTGATCTTCCTTTAAGTATCACAGATGCTATCAACGATGTTGAAATAGGCGGGGAGGAGAATCTAATGTTTAATAGTGACTCAAAGTTAATAAGATATGATTCTAGAATCAGCCAAGAACAGACAATGTTTACGAATGGTGGTAAAGGATTTGATAATGTTGTAACTAATCAATCTAGTACTATTATGCATGACAAGCCAAGTGCTAAGATTTCATCAGATTCAGAGCCTGCCCCAATCCAAGCAATCCTCTCAACAAACAAATCATTCCTGTTTAACAGTCAACAAGTTGCATTGTCCAACAAACCATCTTCTTCGTCAAGCCAAGTTACTAGACGGGAAAATCAACCAATGTACTCTACCAGTCAATCGTTTGCCCCATCAACACTCTCCAGTTCATCTTTGATGTCTACAAGTCAGTTTGTCACATCTTTAACAGAAGAAACACCATCTACTCCTGGATCCTCTTCTAGTTGTGACCATGCTGACAGTGACCTGCCAATAAGATCCGAGCATACTGACAGAAATCCAAAAGAGCAGTCAACTATTGGCAAACATATTGATTGCACGTCATATGATAGGCCACATAGAGTCAAGCACGTTAACAACTTTCCATTTGTTGATCCGATTAAATGTGAAGATGTTGACAGTAGGCAATACAATGAGCCAGTCAGAGGTGAGTCAATTAAAGGCGGTCAGGTTGATAGTAGCCCATATAGTCCGACAATAAGAGGAGTCAATGAGGATTGTGAACAGTATTATGAGTCAAACAAAGGTGAGCAATGCATGTTAGAGGAAAGTGTAGTTGATGAAAATGATGAGACAGAAAAAAATTTTACAATACAATCTGGGGAAGGGCTTATCACTCCTCCTGACTCTCGGATGCAATCCAGAGAATACGATACCATCCCACCTTTGTTGCGGATAAACTCCGGAGAAGAGCTTATCACCCCGGCTATGTCCTGGATACAATCTGGAGATGAGCTTAAAACCCCTTCTGTGTCTCGGATACAATCTGGAGAAGAGCATAATACACCTGATCCTGAACCTCAACTCCACCATGACCCTCAACCTGGTCCTAGCTCCTACAGAGATCACAGTGCAGAAGAATCTTGTTATCAAACCAGAGCTAAATCTTCCAAATCTTCAAAATGTCTTGTAAAAACTGACACTGAAGAGTCGGCCGTTAACGGGATACAACTGTTAGTTGCTCTCTCATATTCTTGTCACATCTGCGACAGAAAGTTTGAGCGGCAGTGCTCTCTATCCAGACATTTGACCTTGCATCAGTGTGACAAGAAGTTTAAATGTGATGAATGTGGGCAGAAATTTTCCCACACTTATAACCTTGAACGACATAAGAATAGAGCTCATAATCAGGATCCTACAGGAGCTAGTGTCAGGTATTACATTTAAACAATGTACTTAGTGTAACGCGCAGGCTCTTTCTTTTAAATAGAAGGACTGTTTATGCTTTTTCCTTTTTACATTCATAAGATATAATTGTTTCTCTTATTATTTATTTTAAGTTATTTTGTTACACAATGATGCTGACTTTGTTTTCTTGATTTTTCAATAATATTTTTTACTAGATGTACAAATTGTGGATTATGGTTCTCAAATAGGATGGTTCTAAAGGTAATTCATTTTTGTACCAACTTCTAAATCAGTTTTTTAATATCATCAGTTTTTGTGATCACATTCTTGTCAGCAATTCTTAAATTAATCCGGACCTTTATTCTTCAAAGAAATTTTTATAAGCTGGATCCGCATTAGAATTAAAAGAACTCTTAATTACCTATATCCGTCAGAAACTAGAAACATATTCCCGCATTTCAAGATATTTCTTTTGTTAGGTTCACATGTTCTCCCATAACCCTGAGAAGGATCAGCAAAATTGGACTGTACAGGACGCCATAGCACAAAGCAGCCAAAAGGTAACCTAAATATTCATCTCAGGTTGGGTTGATGGATTGATGGATTTATGAGTTGATGTATTGATGTAATAATGGATCGTTTTATTTATGGATTAAGGAATTTATGGACTGATGGATGAAGGATTAAATGATTGATGGATTTTTTGATTGTTTGATTTATGGATTTATGAATTTCTGGATAGTTGGGTCGATGGATTTATGGATTAAGAGATTGATTAATTGATCGATCGATTGATCGATTGATTGATTTACTGATTTACTGAATTATTGGTTCATTGGTTAATTGGTTGATTGATTGAATCTACTAGAATGGTGATGAGAGGGTTGAAGAGATGAAGTTTGAATGTCCCTGCTCCGGGTGTGGTTTACAGTACGACACCTGGCTGGAGTTGGTGGAACACACCCAGGAGCACGGAGCTCAAACAGTACCTGGAGATACTTCAACTCAACGCACAGGAAACTTAACAATACATACTTTAATATTCAAGGGAATACTTCCTTTGATGATATTTAAGGGGGGGATCTAAGTTAATGACCATCTTTTGGTTTAGAGGATTCACATCTACGAGGTATGTATGTTGTGCAAAAAAATAAAGGTACTGCTGGACATCTCAGCCCTGTAATTTTTGTATTTCTGTGTAATCCGCCTTTTCCCGGAGGTTGTTTAGCTCCGCTGTCGCAGCATGCTAATTTTTATAATACCAAGACTGTTTTGTTCTTAATATTTTTATTATTAATGTTTTTATGACTGGAGAAAACAAGGAATTCAATCTTCATAAACTCATAAATTCATAAACATCCAGAAGACGGCTATAAGAGATTGCTGTATTACTCCTTTTTTCACTCTTTAGAATTTAGTCCAACATTTCTAATGCTAACTTCAGACAAAAATGTTGATAAGATAGAATCACTGCAAAAGAAAGCTATTCGTCTTTTGATGGGGTTACCTAGAATAACTCGCACAGCGGAAGCTTTTTTGGGCTTTGAACATACTCCCCTTCAGAAAATTAGGAATTTTTAATGTTATTAGATTTTTATTTCAATTTAAATGAGACCAATTACCACCAACATTGAAAAAAGATTTCACATTATCAAAAAATATCAAAAACGCACAACCCACAAACAGTCGACACAATATTGAAGTTTCTCAAACCAATTTTACAAGGCCTCATAGTTGATGATTTTTGATAAGTTTGACATCTGCTATGGTGCTTCAAACAAAGTTGTAAAGCAAGATTTGGGAAATGGCAAATATTTGAACAATATTTGCTCCAAATAGGTCCCATGAAAAGATATTTATTTTTTTGCTCTAAAGTAGATTACAACTATAAAAACCTTTAAGGATCCTTACTACAATAAAGGCTTTTATGACTTTTAAGGTCTCAACCTTTAGACTTTAAGGACCTTTTTGGGGGAAACGGTGATTTTAAGATTTTAAGGGGAAGTTGATGCTTTGTAGGGGAAAATAAATGATTTTATTGGGAAATTAAATGATTATATTGGGAAATTTAAATGATTATATTGAGAAATATATGATTATATTGGGAAATAAATGATTTGTTGCGTTAAGAGGAAATAAGGGGTGGGGTTTCTCATACAAAAAAAAATATAAACCCCTGCTTCAGCTATATATGATTATTGATCAAGTATAGTTAAGGATTCTTTTACTAGGGTCCCATAAATGTGAGCTCTGCTGGAAAATATTTGCAACAGAAGAGCGATTAAAGAAGCACATGAGATGCCACATGAAGGTAAACCCACTCAATGGTGTATTAAAAGGACAGTACATGCCTGATTCACAACAGTGCCTTGTTAATTATTGAAATAACAAAGAGATATCGTCGATGGTTTTTTTGAAAAGAAAATGATCAACCATTGGTCCGTAGAAGTCAGGGTATATATGCCACGAAATATAACATGCAACTCTTTAACTAAATCAAAAGCCTAATTAGTTCTGAACCCCTTGGAAGTAAATAATTGTTAGATCCTAAGAATTGATTATTTTGCAGGATGAAAGAAAGCCCCTGGAGTGCCCAACATGTGGGAAACGTTTTATCAACAATAGTGCTCTAGGTAGGCTAGGAGCTTTGTAATTGGAAGGTCGAAGGGGGGGTGGAGATAGTGACAGATTGGAAAAGAAAGTGGCATTTGTGGAAACAAAGTGAAAGCTTGGGAAAGAAAGCTTGGGAAAGATAGGGACAGAATTGGACATGAGTAGATATGGAACAACAGGGGAGGATTATTGAAAATTTGGATAGATGAGATTGGATTGGGAGAGTGTGGAGTCGGTTAGGAGAGAAAGGATTGTTAAAGATAGGGGGAAGATTGTGATAAATTTGGAGAGATACGCTGATTGGCGGAGAAGGGAGTTGGGATAGGAGAAGCGAAGAAGGGAAATGGAATGGGAAGTGAAAGTTTGGTTACGGAGAAAGTGTTGAATTGGGAGAAATAGGGTTTGTCTGAAAAAGATCTAGTTGGCGGAGAGGGGGGGGGGGTAAGATTGAGATTTATTATCAGAGAGGACGACGGCGGGGTTTGGAGCTAATTTCAAAATATTTTTTTACTCTAAGCATAAATTGTGAAATTATTAAAATTCATGATGATAAAACAACCATTTATTGTAGAAAATTTCAAATTCATGTTAATAAAACAATAATTTATGTTTTTATTGTTTAAAGAGAAAATGGGTGGAATACTTTTAAACCTTCTAATCATAACCTAGACTCCATTTTATTTTGATGCGGATACAGATACGGAACTGGATCCGCCCTGAAAAAAAAGGATCTGGATCTAGGTCATTTATGCAATATTTTTAACGAAAGAAGAATTTTTAAATAAAATTTTCTTTTTTTCGCTTATTAATATGCTTGAACTTTCCTGATTCAATAATCGCTCTTCTTTGAACAGTTTAAGATTTGGGGTTTGAGAGTAAAGGTGTTTTACAGTTTTTTGTTGATATTTTGTTAATCCAATGTGCACGGATCCTAAGAGCTGCTTCTAATGATAAAAATTTGTTTCATCCAGGCGGTCACGTAAAGATCCACGCTGCTCCAAACCAAATGTATGACTGTCCTCTGTGTGGTGTAGAATTCGAGCATATATCAAGTCTCAAAGATCATGTTCCTTCTCATAAGGTTAGGACACATTCAGCTCGCAACTATTGAATGCTAACTATGTTCCTCAGAAGTTCAGTCGGTTCCCCACCAAGGATAGAACTTCAGAGACGATTGTATGGAATTTATTTAGTCCGTTTCCTTTCATTCAGGTTTCCTTGTAGGCCAAAACTGACTTATTTCTGTGCTTATTCATTTAGTAAACCATCAAAACAAATCAATTAAATGCAGAAACCAAAATTAGGCTTTAAATTGTCATATTTTAAGAGTTTTGAGTCGTTTTTACAGTATCATCCTTTGTGGGTAACCCTGTACAACTGATTAAATTAAGCCAATTTTTTATATAGTTTGCGAAGTTTACAATTACACAAATGAGAGCTCCATAAACTTAAAGTTAAAAGTATCTAGGGTGAAATTGGAGTTGTTGCAGACACGCAATATCTCAACCAAAGTGTTCCTACCTTTGGTTTTAAAACTAAAGATAAAAAATATTTGTACAGCTTAATCCAGAAAAATTGCGCTGTAAAAAATAGAATTTTTATAATTATATTCTCGATAGCAATAATTTATTTCTGTGCAACCTGATATTGTAAGCCATTTGTATTTCCATTTTTTACTAATTATAATTTATAATAATTTATAATAAAAATAAAAATATTTATAATAATAATAAATGGACTGTAAAGGAAAAATGAAAGATAGGATAAAATCTGAGAATCTCAGGCGTTGAACGATACCTATAAGACATCTATCTGATGTACCTGTCTCGAGAAATTGATATAAAACTGTGTCAAAATTATACGAAAATCTATATACATGAAATTTTGTATAAAAGTAGTAGCTTTAAACAGATCATATTCAGCAAATACGCAAACAATCTAAAAACGATTATATCCCACAGAAACCTGGAACTCTCAGGTGCGCTCCTATAATAATTTTTTTTGCTTTTTTTAAGAGATATAAATGATAATATTTAAAAGTCCTTATTACGTCACAAGAACTTCCACCAATGAGAGTGCGGTTTACTGGTCACGTGATACAGACTGAAATAACGTGACCAGTATACTGCACTGCCATTGGCTAAAGTTATGGTGACGTAATTCGGACTAGGCGGACCATATGTAATAATATCATCAATTATATCGATAAAAAAGGCAAAAAAAAATAAAAGAGGAGCAAACCTGAGATTCACAGGTTTCTGTGGGGTAACTTCGTTTTCAGATTGGTTGCGTATTTGTGGAATATGTTCTAATTTCATATATATGAATTTTCGTATAAATTTGACACCGTTTTATATCAATTTCTCGAGACAGAAACATCAGTCCCTTAAATAACAGATTTCATAGTTAAAATCACTCACTCTCAGAAAAATACCAATAATTTATGTTTTAGGTAAACAATAAGTTTACTTGTCCAACCTGTAACAAGGTGTTTGATGAATATCAAGCTGTGAGGAAACATATTCGGGCTTTTCATTCACAAATAAGGTTTTGAACATTTTTGATTTTGCTGGACTTTCATTAATGTCTATTTTTTGTTTCTTTATCTCATTTTTTTATCCCACACCTCTTTGGACTTTTTGACCTTATTTCATTTCATTTATCTTATATTTTTTATGTCTTATGACCTAATTTGACTCTCCCTCACCTTATTTCACCCTATTTGACCGAAATTTACCTAATTTTCCCATATTTGACCTTGATTGACCTAATTTTACCTGTTTGGAAATATTTACTTACTTGACCTTGACATTACTTGACCTTACTTGAAGTTCTTAACCTTACTTGACATTACTTGACCATACTTGACCATACTTACCCTTTTTGGACTTTCTTGACCATATTTGACTTTATTAGACCTTATATGACCTTACTTGACTTTTGTATGACCTGTTTGACCCCCCTCTGTAAAGGTTTCTATCTAGGTACACTTGTGATATCTGTAGAAGGGAGATAATGGGTAAGACCAAATATGATCAGCATCTACGCACTCACTCCTCAGTAAAGGACTTCTCCTGTACTACATGTGATAAACAGTTCAAGAGGAAAGACAAGCTGAGGTTAGTGTTGATAAGATATTTTTTTATTAAGAGAAATTTCTGGATCCCAACCCACACATTATAAAATACCCTACTCTATTTGTCCCAAGATAAAAAGGCCCAAACTAAAATACAAAAAGAATTTCAAAGCTTCCTAATGGGAATTTCCAAATAGTTCATTTTAAAGGTGAATCTTTCCCATTGGGGATAATTTGTAACAGATCATGAACTATAAACGGACGGGAGCGCAAGCCTTGACACTGCAGATTGAGGGTTGACAGCAATTATTATTATTATTATTATGTTAGATTTTTCTTGTGTTGGGTTTGAGTGGTCACATTGATTAAACGTAAGAGGGGGGATAGAGTTTTCATACATTTTATCTTGACGTATCAGGACCTTTAAGGAAATATAGAACAATTGGTAAACAATAACTTCACAAGCTAACTTTCCAGGAAATTCCGACCTTCAGTATGTTTCCTTATAGTGTGGTCAGCTTTCTTGTTGTTATTATAAGCCAGAATCAAGGTTTTCTAGTTTTAAGTTTGGAAAATGGAAAAGTTTATTATAATATTTTAATATCTAACGTTCTTCAGTGCACACATGAAGAAGCAGCATCCTGTAAGTGAACGAGGAGATGTACTGCATGAACCCGGAAGTGTACTGCACTCTACTCCGGCTCATCCTTCTCTTGCAGTACAGGGTTCAGGTCTACCCGGTACTTCGGGCCCGGCTCGACCTCATGTACCGGTACAGGCCGGCCCATCATCCAAGGTTAGTGAAATTTTAATTAAGTTTTTGTTTAAATAAAAGGACTGTTGACGGCATTTTAAACACTACAAATCATGTCCGATTCACAAAAGTACCCTTTAAACCTTTCGCATTGTATAAAAATAAAAGTTAATTTATGGTAAAATAAATTAGTCATAAAAAAAATTTCCATTTAAGGTTGAGCCCACGGACCTGGATAAGTTCTTGTATAAATGTGAGATCTGCCAACTCGGGTTCAAACGACGAGGAATGTTGGTCAATCATCTTGCTAAAAGGTAAAATTTCAAAATGAATAAATGGGACTGTTCATTTCACTCCTGTATGTCGAGTCCATTAGCGCCTGATCCAATCAGGGTTCAGTCATGTGTTTGTTGTCTGTTCTGAACCGATAGAAATAGTATGACTGTAACATTTATCTTTCTATCTATCTCATTATCCAATCAGAGTTATGAATCCATCAATCACCGCTATCAGTAAATTGAAATATTTACTTCTACTGAAACTATAGTAATTTAGTTGGACTTACGAAACTTAGACTGAATTGTTAAAACTTACCATTTTTTGGTCGAAATGGAATTTTTGATGAGCTAGCTTCGAGCCACGATGAGCCGGGAGCTGCCGACCATTGCGCTGTTGATCGGGATTTAATGTTTGAGCCCACTCTGTCCATTTTTAGGATTGATTCTAGTCTATTTACTTTTATAGTTATAGTTTACATACTTTTTTATCCTGCGATAGCCTCTCATTTCCCATCAAAATTTGTCAGTATTGCAAACCTTTACCTTCTTGCGTTTTGAATATTATCTATTTTTTACTCTGAACCGGGACCTGTCTGAGTCCGAAGTCTAGCTACTGGCTACAGTATTCAGTGTGATTTAAAAAAAAAAAGATAACTCTATTTGACCCATTTCAGCTTAAATTAATCGTTTATTCGTTCCCTCATCTAAAGAATAAGAGAATTTGAAGAATGAGACATTTTTCATTCAAATGTGTCCACTTTATCATTCTTCAATTCATTGTTCCTGAAACCCAATCTTTTTTAATAAAATAGGGAAATATATAATCTAATCTAGACACCCTGATATCCCTGTATCTATATCTATGTTATTATCTATCCAGACACCCTGATATCCCTATATCTATGTTATTATCTATCTAGACACCCTGATATCCCTGTATCTATGTTATTATTTAAAAGAGGGCGGGGTTGAATGATTTTTGAAGAAAATATTCACACCTGAATTTAATATTATTTACAACTCATGGAGTAGAAAATTTTTAAAAAAAGCAATCTTGCAAAACCAAAATTAATTTTATTTTTGATAAATTTTTAAGTATTTGTCCAGAGTAAACATCAAAGAAATAATATTTGCTTACTAATATTTAATATCTTGCAAGTAAAGAATTATATTTTTATCTTTATAAATACTGGTTGTAAAACATGAAAACAATTATGAATTATCATTGTTCTAAATATATTCAGTAATGTATAGTTGCACTGTGTACATCCCTTATATTTCTAGGTGTACAAGTCTAATAGTAAGAGGAAGGTACATATACAGAAAAATCATCCAGGAGAGGCACTTCCGGCCAGTACCAGGTTCATTGTTGTTATGTACTGTTTATTGCCGTGATTGTACTGTACATTCCTGTTATGTACTGTATATTGCTGTGATTGTACTGTACATTCCTGTTATGTACTGTATATTGCTGTGATTTACTTTACATCGCTGTGATGTATTGTAAATTGCAGTTATGTACTTACCATTGCTGAGATGTACTGTACATCGCTTTGATGTACAGTTAATTTTTTGTGATGTAGATTGCAGTGATGTGCTGTACATAGTTATGATGTATTGCACAGTGTACATAGCCGTGATGCACTGTACATTGCAAAAATGTACTGTACATTGTAGTAATGTTATGTACATCGCAGTGATGTACTGTACATTGCAGTGATGTACTGTATATTGATGAAATGTTCTGTACATTGATGTGATGTACTGTACATTGATGAGATATACTGTACATTCATGTAATGAAATGTAAATTACTGTACATTTTTGTGATGTGTTTTATAATGCAGTGATGAACGTTACATTGATGTGATGTATAGTACATATTATCTGATTTACTGTACATTTTTTGTAATTTTAAATATCCATCATATAAAAGTTGGCATGCCCTATCACAATCTTATCGTTTAACCTTTCATTAATAATATGGAAGATCTATCGTTTTTCTGGCTTGAAATGTGCCTGATTTTGTCATTTTCCTATCTTTTTTTTCTATAGTATAAATCCGCAAGTCAATTAAAGGAAGAAAATAGTAAATTTTTCAAGTAGAAAAGCATGGATATTTAATATTTATTCATTTTTGATCAGTCATAGTGTTTAGGGTACTGTGATGAATCTATATAGGGTTGGTCACATGGAAAAAATGTTTTAGAAAAAATCGATCAAATTTTAATTTAATCCCTAAATAATCTATTCCAGGGAGGTAGGTGGTGAGGAGGGTAATGAGGAAAGAACATATTCCCTTGCTGTTGGTAGTATCACTTCCAAACCTCATAATTGTCAGTTCTGTCATAAACAGTACGCGAGCAAGGTTGGGTTTTCTTCTATTAATATTTTAGGAAATGTATCAAAGTAAGGCATAAAAATCCCCCGAGAAATCATCAGAAATTGGATCAATTCATTATTGGGTCATTTTGATATCTACAATGAATTTGAACACTTCATTTAAAGGGAGTGTTCGCAAAAAATAAGCGCTTTTGATCGCTACTAATCTTACTTCTATCTGTTGCGTCTATTAGGAGAAAATTGTTAAAAACGACTTATACCGAAGAACGTAGCATCCATACAAATTCAGAAAGTTGCAGTTTTCAACACGGATCGCAAAAAAATCAATTTAATGCCAAACAAATCATTCAGATATTACAACCAATCGTCATCGATTACTGTTCAAAGCATTCCTAAATAGTTGATATTTCATAATGTTTTTAATTTTTCATGATCTAAGAGTTACTTTTGAAAACTTTTATTACTGTTTCGAAGATTTTTGATAATGAAGACGACATTTTCATATTTTCTAGGAGTTTTCGAAAATCCAGCGCCAGCGAAATATTATTTCAAAAAACAAAATCAAAAATATTATGAAATATTAGCTTTATACGAATGCGTCGAAAAATAATCGATGACTATTGTTTGTCATATCTGAATGATTTGTTTGGAATTAAATTGAGTATTTTACGGTCCGAGTTGAATGTTGCAACTTTCTGAATTTGTATGGACGCTACGTTCTTCAGCATTAGTCATTTTTAACAATTTGCTTTTGAAAGACGCAACAGATAGAAGTAGCGACCAAAAGCACTTATTTTTCGCCGTAAGCCTGTACCCCCTTTCATATTTCGCGAACACTCCCTTTAAAGTGGACTTTTGTACGGGTCTAATTAAAACCTTAAAATACCACTGAAATTCTTCACTTTGCGAAGTAATTAAAAATTTAGAAAAGAAGGGGCTGCAGATGTGAAGAAAGTAAAAAAAAAGTTCGAAAAAAGTTCAGAAAGAAATTCTATTCAAAATCACCACAGTTTTTAAAGTGGCTTTTTTTCGTCCAATGTAGAGCAGAATCATGTTAATGATATTAGAACAATTCTAGATCCATAAATCTGATACATTTTGCACAGTGCACACTGCACAGCATGCTTTTACTTTTACATATACGCATACTGTATCGTTTATGGGGTTTAAGAAATTGAGTCTTTTCAACATTCTCTCATACTCTAATTCCTATATCTTTGCAACCCAATGTCGTAGAACTTGGATATTTCAAACTATGAATTCTGATAGATCAAATAATCTAAGTTTGAAATATCTAAGGTTCACTATTAGGATTCCAAGATGTTGGGCCTAGAAAAATTGAGTTTGTTGCAAAAAATCCAATACTTTGTAATTATTTAGTTTTTATTGGTTTGATTCAAGGAGTATGAAATAGAAAGGAGATATAACTGAAGCGGTCCGCCCTACCATATGATTATACATGCTTTGCAGACGGTACTTCATTTGTATATGAAATATTCAGAATAGGTTATTGTATTCACGGTAATTGTACATCAGACAAATATTTCTTATTCAAATGAAGTATTGTCTGCAAAGCATGTATAATCATATGGTAGGGCGGGCCGCGCCAGTTTTATCTCCCTTCTATTTTATACTCCTTGGTTTGATTGGTTAAAAGATACAAAAGAAAACAATTTTTTCTTCAATATTTGGTCAATAATTTTGTAAGTCTTATTTGTTTGTTATTATCTCAGTTGTTTTAATTTTTTTTTTTTTTCTTGCCTTTATTAATTGTCTCTAATTTCGTCTCATTTTATTTAGCTTTTTATAATTGAAGTCTTTTTTTTTGTTTTTTGCTTTGCATAAATTTATTTTGTACAATTTTTCACCACTGCACTTTTAGTTCTTTTATTGAGCTTTTTTCATTTTTGTATTTATTTTAAGGCATTAAACTTTTTTATTTCAGCCTAAACTGTACCAACATCAGCGGAATGTTCACTCTCAACCTATTCAGTTCAAACAAGGTAATTTTCCTACTTCAAGTTAACTAGGGGCTGATATAGAAGCACTAAAGGGACTATACACGTAATTTCAAGTGACCCTGGTTTCAAAGAGTTGCATGTCTGATACACGAAGGTACCCTTAAAAACTTTATTTTAACAAAGAGGAAGTACAGTCATTTTTCTCTAGATTCTAACCAGTTGAATTTTGACAATGTCTTTCATTTTCTTTTAAGCGCACGTCACATTGAAGAGAAACAATTATTGAAAATGATCCGTTTTCAGCTAAAAAAGTAAGGATATCTCCTTCAATTGGACCTGCCCTGCCCTGTCAGTCCTTATTATTAAGTTTCAATTTCCAATTGTTTACAAACTTTCCTTTATATTATCATATTTTAGACAATACAGCCAGTACCAGCAAAGTACACAACAAGGTTAGTTTAAACATTTTTTTAAATGGTTACCCACAAAGGATGAGTGTTCAATGACGACATAACTATCTTTTAATAATTATTCCGATTTTAAGGTTAAGTTTTTGCATTAGTTTTAAAATTTTACATTAAATGATTTGGCAAAGACAGAAACGGTTTTAAAACTGTTAGGGAACAAGAATGAAAAAATAGAATAATTCCGTACATTTATTGTGGGTAACCTTTCATTCATTTAATTTTTTTATCTTCAATTACAAGCACTACTAGATCTGTTAAGTATTTTTAGATTTTGTATCTGTCATAATTTCCTTTAATGGTTTCATGATGCAATGCGTTTTTACTTCCGTCTTGGTGTATTTTTGTATCGTTTGGTTTGGCTATTTTTAGAATTACAATTCATTTCGGTAAATTTTACATTAACTTGATCCGTATCCTGAAATGGAAACGTTAAATTGGCATGGAACTGAATCCCAGAGCATTAACTTTTAAATTCAGGAGTTCAGATATATGAGTTCAGATTTTTAATTTTCAAATCGTTTCAATAAATGGGCAAGGCTAGATCGGCATTGTTGAATACTCAAACATTGATGAATGAAGGATGGGTTTAAGAAAGAATTAAAAAAAAATTATTTAACTCTTTTTGTTTCCCTTTAAAGTTTCCTTAAAAATGTTGGAGCCCTAAAAGAGAAAAATCTGTGTTCTTATCTGTTATTTGTTCTTAATCAGGTGTCGTCTGAGCCTAGCCTGGTAAGCCTAGAAGATTCAAACTCTTTCGACGTCGAAGGAAGACTTCTAGTCGATCAACGGAGTCAAGACGGAGAAGATCATTTCTCACCTACTCCAGGACCTTCTAGACCTAGACCTGGACCCGGAGATGGTTCAAGGATACTTTATAGTCCTACTCCGGGTTTCAGATCTAATAGGATAGACAGTTTAGGCTCCAGTAATGGAGCTTCAGCCAATTCTCTGGAGGAGTTAACTCCGATAAGAGAAATCAACTTCAACCCGGAGTCAAGGTTAGACAACTATGAGAACTCTCCGCTTCTCAACTCTCTCCCAGAGAACTTGAACCTGTCGGAGGACAAGTCCCCCGGAGAAGGTTGGATGCTGGCTGACTCCGGGTCTGGAGAACATCTGTTACGATCTAATAGAGCTGGAGGAACTAGGGATGTGATTTTCTCTTCTTCAGAGTCCAGGGACCAACAATATCTGCTTATTCAGGTATATATAAAGTTGTAATCTCTGTTTGTCTGTTTTTTTGGTTGTTTGTTTGTTTTTCCGATCATAACTCAGGAACCCCTGGACTGATATGCCTCAAATTTTGATTGGGAAACTCAGGAGACCCACGGTAATGTTATTTGCTTGGTTAAAGATTCTTAGTTAAGTGGGTCGACTTTCAGAGCGAAAAGTTAGTTTCCCGGTAAAATCCTACAAGTGCGGGTAAACGGCGGGAGTAACTTTTGGTTACCTTGGCAGCGCTGGGTTCCCAAGCTAGTCTTATATATACTTTGCTTGTCTGGGTGATGGTCTGTTTGTATCCAATTAACGGCTGAACTGATCAGGCCCAAATTTTGTTTGGAACCTAAAATAATTCCAGGAAAGGTTTATAGATGATCAGAATAAAATTTTGAAAAAAAACGAGAAGTAAAATAATAAATTCGCGATTTTTTTGTTTTATCGAAGAATAATATGCTTATATATTGAGCAGCAATTAAAAGTTGAAAAAAAAGATTGGCGCGAAGTGCCCTGATACCCTTAAGATTTTAACTTAAGTATGTATACTTAATTGGGGGGGGGGGGGGTAGGGTTTTTGTTCATTTTACTGCAGTAGTTTTCTGATAAATAGGCACTAGTTGGTAAATAAATCTGGCTTCTCTCCCATCGGAAGAATCAAGTTTAATTTACAATCTGTGCTATACTCCTAGCTGTCCATGTAAAATGTGTACACACATCCTATTCCCCTAACTGTATTATAACAACCTTGCATTAAACTCTAAAAACATCAAGGTCTTAAAATCACGAAACCACAAAAAAATACTTTGATGATAGTTACTTGTTAGTTATTACAAATCTTGGATATCTGAGAAAAGAAAATTCTGGAAATTCTCTTATTAATTACTTTCCGGCCTTTTCAACAAACCTATAATTATTTTATTTTTATAAGAAAGCCTGGGTTAATAATCAAGATAAAAGCAAATATTTAGAAGATTGTTTTCCTGGGAAATAGAATAACTTTTTGATTTAATAATCAGAATGTTCTTTTCTTTTTTCATAAGGAATAGTGAGGTTAAACAAATCCCAGACTGGGATTTCGGGAGAAAATCAGAGTTGGAGGGGGGGGTTACTCGGGGTTACATTTTCATGAAAATTAGTAAAATATTTTATTGCAGGGAGCGGACGGTCAATTGTTTATACAAGGCGGAGAGGAGGGTGGTCATATTCTCCATCCTGCTGAACTTGAAGGAGGTCATATTCTTCATCATTCTCAACTCGGTTGTCACGCCCTTCATCCTTCGGAACTTCAAGAAGGTCAAGTCCTACACCATTCTGAACTTCATGGAGGTCAAGTTCTTAATCATGCTGAAGTTCAAGAAGGCCAAGACCTTCATCAGGCTGAATTACAAGGAGGTCAAGTCTTACACGATTCTGAGCTTCAAGGAGGTCCGGATCTTCACCATGCTCGACTTTCAGGTGGTCAGATTCTACGGCATGCTGAAACACAAGGAGGTCAAGATGAAGGTGACTTACAACTACACCAACTACAAGATGGACATATTCTGCATGAAGTAGATGTTGAGAGTGTTGACCACCAACTCCAGGAAGCTGAAGAGACTGAAGGTAGAAAAGATGATTTGGGGAAGCTTTTTGTTTGAACTTCATTGGAAAAGTATGTAAAATATACTAAGTAGAAAGCTCAACCACCCTAAAAAGACCACACGCAGCCCTTAATCCTTGTTTTTTGCTAGTTCTTATAATTCCTTCTAATTTTGGCGAATTTATTGTTTCTAATTATAAGTTACCAAGGTTATCTGAACCATTTATATTTAATGTTTATTACAAATACAATTTATTTGCACACAATGAATTATGTACTAAATTAAATTTATATCAGTTGTTTGAATCCCTAGAATTTGAATATTGTTAATCTATCACTCTTGTAGATTTTAAAGAATGAATTTATGATGATAAAAAAACGATGTTTCCAATGTTAATAGAGTTAAAAGGGGCCATTGGTTAGTTTCTGATATCAATAAGTTTTGTAGCGCGGAATTAGTTTTTTATTGCCACAAAGATCCTGTCTTATTTTTCAGAATAATGGCATATATTCTGTTTTTTAAATTTTTTTTTGTTTTCTTAAATGTCAAAATATATTTGTGTTACATGAAGTAAGCCAAATCATGACATTTTAAAGAAGTATCTTGAATGCTCCCTCGGGTAACACCGTAGCAGGATGGGTATACTAACCGTTCAGACAGGAAAGTTTTCTGTCAAGAAATAAATGCACAAAAACTTAATGGATTTTTTTCACTAAAAAAATACCAATATATCTGCTTTTGACATAAAATACAATACAATGCGAAAGCGGACTTTTTTCAGTGACTGATATTTTTGAGAATGTTGAATTGTATGTGTGTTTTCCCATTTGGTTCACCTTTTAAAGGGACTGTAAAGGAAAAAGGAGAGGGGGTATAGACTGAAAGCTAATCACTTTAGCTCTCGATCTCGACCCATGAAAGTCATATCTGATGTTCATGTCTCGAGAAATTGATATAAAACTGTGTCAAATATATACGAAAATTAATATATATACAATTTTGTATAAAAGTAGTAGGTTTAAACAGATCATATTCGGCAAATAAGCAACCAATCTGAAAACGATGATATCCCAGAAAAAGCTAATTGTAATTTAGGTTTACTTTTATATTTGTTGTTTCTATTTTCAACAGATTTCATTCATAATATTATTTTTACGTCCGTTTTACTTGACCAGAAATTCCACCAATGGCAGTGCAGTAAAGTGGTCACGTGATACAGGCGGAGACACGTGACCAGTATACTGCTCTGCCATTGGTGATAGTTCTGGTCACATGATTTAAGTTTCAGATTTTCAAAATTTTACATATATGAATTTTCGTATAATTTTAAAACAGTTTTATATCAGTTTCTCCAGACAGGAACATCAGATGTTATATCTATGTCGCGATCAAGAGCTAACGTGATTAGCTTTCAGCCTATACCCCCTTTCCTTTTTCCTTTACTGTCCCTTTAAATACTTTTTTTTTACATAATTCTGGTTTCTGGGACCTATATTGTATCCAAATAAAGTTATATAACTTTTAAAATGATGTTATGTTATAAATTATTTACTCTGTGATTTTTATAAAATAAATGTATTTATATAAACGATTTTTATCTTTTAATATCTCACAGTTTGAACTTTTTAAACCTGAAACCAAATTCAATGAAAAGTAAGATGCTACGTACCCCAGTCTAAAAGTTGCATGATCCGAGCCGATACAACACGTACTGTATTAGCTATCCGTCGTACTGTCCACTCGGCCTACCTAGTTTAGAGTCGGAACTTATATGTTATAAATCTCGGGGTCATGCATTTATCTTCATCTTGTGTAGATCTATGGATTAATTTAATTACTCATCGATATCCCATGAAGGTCATACCTCGAGCCACAGGGATAGATTTGATTAATAAAGCATTTATTATTCAGTTTAAAATATAAAAGGTTGCAAAGATATAGATATTTGTAAATCAGATTCAGATTGTGTGGCAAAGATATAGATATTAGTAAATCAGATTGTGTGGTAAAGATTTTTGCAAGATGAAATAATTACAGTTTTCGTAATTCGAAAAATCATTTACAAAGATGAAATTAAAATTGTCATTTAGGTCCCCTGTTCATTAGGACACCCTGTATCTCAAGCTTTGTAATTAAATAAAAATATAAGTATGAAGTTTGTTAGATGAAACAACGCCTAGCTCCCTTATTCTAGCCATGTGTAATCTGCATAATTCCGGATTTATAATTTCATGAACATTGTTTATTTTTAATTTATTCTCTCGAAGTCTTGCACCAGATTAAATTTAATCTCTGTGCTTTGCATCAACAAAAACAAAAATTAAAAAAAAAGAAAATTATTAAATCTCAAAAAAGGTTTTCAACCATAATACAGTGGTAACCAGAAAGCAGTGAAATGATTATCTTTTTGGATCTTTTGCTATGGATATCTTAAAAACTATTACACGACTATTTTTAAAAATGTCTTGATCAAGATGTTCGCATTATTTTACTATTTATAGCTTAAACCCCGTTTGTAAAAAAACTGCTTACATGATTTTTTGCACTACTGCGAATTATAGACTTTTTGAAAGAACTGGAGCAGAAGGGATTGTAATTGAATTAGATACACTCTGAATAAACAAATAAATAAATTCAGTAAACCAATTTTTTCTTTAAAATGTTATGAAATTTTTCCTAATGCTTTTATTTTAACACTAAAACTCCTACTAATCTAACTTTAAACAATCTGTCCACTGTGTTTGCACACCTATAAGACTTTCAAATCCTACAAACTATACATAAAACATGAGGAAATACACCAAAACAATATTTTGATACAAATATTATACTATGATCTCTTCTTGTTGCAGTGTAATTTTTCTTTTCTTAACATCTAAAACATTTGTATGAAATTGTCTAAAACATTGTAAACTTCTTTCTTATTTATCATTATACAATAAAAGTTGTCAGAAAACTTTTCCCAGGAAAAGAAAGATCGAGGAACAAGAGAGAAGAATCTATACAGGGTGTCCCAATAAACATGGGAATTAAGAGACGAATTAGAAATCGTCTTTGTTAAGAATTAGTGTGATATTACCAAACGTCAATGGTAGTAAAGTTATATCTGCTAGCAAGGAGATATTGAATAGAAGGAATGGCGATAGGGTTTCCGTATACTTTGCAAAGTGTACGGAAACTCTATCTATTCAATATCTCCTTGTGTTCAGCTTAGCCTTTATTTAGGTTAATTAGTCTGTACACTATGAACTCTTTAGGGATAAAAAATAAAGTCCCTTTTTCTGGAGATTTCAATATTTTTTTCGGATTTTTTCTGTGTTTTGTCAAGCATAAACGTGGACGATATAATTGTCTGAATTTAAAGAAAGCAGTGTTCTAGATATTTCAAAATAATGACTAATTACATTTGTTTTGGTTTTATTATAGAATTGTTGAACGTATAATTTATCTTTGAACACATTTTTTCAAAATATTTGACATTATGATATTTATTTATTTCGATCTGATTTAAATATAATATTCAAATTATTTCTAACAAATATCTTTTATGCGAAATATTTCGTGAAGTGATGATGGTGTCGTTTAGAAAGAAAAAAAACGCTGGACGAACGACTTAGATCGTTCAGAGAAATAAAAAAAAACGATCGATCTATTTAGCCACAAACAATTGGGAAATTTTATTTTCAAAATCCATATAACAAAGTGCTGATGCATCCCTGTGGATACATATTTCTAGACTATTTAGAAAGTGATCTCACATTTTTACGAATGGGTTTTAGGTGTAGGACAAATGTTAGTTTCATTAGTTTCTAGGATGTTAATATTAATAATAGTAATAATAATAATAACAAAAGGTTTAAGTACCCCTCCATAAACAAGCCGTCCCCCCCCTCCCCCGATTTACGCAAAAGTTCGTTAATTAGATCGACTGCCACTACCACATTATAGTTTATACACATACATCTAAACAGTTTGTTTTTAATCTTTGTGACAGAATAATAATTGTCTTAAAACATTTTTTTTAAAGTGAATATTTGCAAATTATCTTTTTTCCATCTCATAATCTGAGTTCGTTTCCCTTATGTCCATTTGACAGTCCAAATTTTTATTTTGAATAAACTTTATTGTTTTTTCATTTTTTCAATTTTTTTTATCGATTTTGATGGTTATTATATCGTTAGGACTGACGAGGTCAGCCCAGACCGAAATATATTTTCAATAAATGTGGAACTAACATCTCCTTTTTTTACTCTAAAGAGGTTTGGTCCATCACCATCACTGAATTTTTATATTCATTCAGATATACTGGATAGTATTTCAAGCAGAAAAATATTGAAAAGATTTGTTGAAAAAACCCAAGGATTCTGTATTTTGGAGGCAGTACTTTTAAAGATTTTCATTATCTTTTTAAAACATCATTTTGTAAATTTCTTTTTTAATTTCTTCAAAGTTCAGAAAACTACGAAGCATTTAATTAATGTAGAATCAATTAAGAGGTTTTAAGTACGTGACTGCACACATGATTTCACAACAATACCCTTTAAAGCTTAGTCTGATCAAAAATTGCATTAAACATCCTTGTTTCTCATTTTGAAAACTGATATTTTTCATTTGTTTCTCTTCAAAAGTGACTTATACATTTCTTGCTTCAGAAAAGATGGAGAAATTATAAGGTTTCGAAGGTACTTAAGACATGCTATACTCTATAAATGGAGGGTCACTTGAAATTACGCAATTACGTATTCCATTTAAGTATAATTACATCGTATGGTAAAATCTACTTTAAAATCTCACTTTTGCCCTTAACTAAAAAAAGTTTCATTAAAAAAGCTTTAATCAATACTAGTGCCTACAGCGTAAATATGCATTTGATATCATTATTTAAACTACAATCTGTATGGACCCTATGAAAATATAGATATTTTTTAAAGAAAAGTTTCCATCTGTATTTTTCATCCCTTGAAACTTAAACCACAGTATTATGAGGGAGTGTCTGACGAGTCCACTTTTAGGAAAATTACATAAATAATTTAATAACACTTGTAATATGGAAATGTGAATGTGATCGAATAGTTTACATATTAAAATACGTATCCATATTTTTCAAAAAAGGGGTTTTAAGGGGGGCACAATGATGCCAAGTGGGGACACAAACACCCCTATACAATTGCTCTCGTCTGTCCCAGGGCCAGAGAGTAAGTTATTTCTTGACAAAGGAATTGAGTTTTTGCCATAAACTCTGAGTTTCTAATTTCAATATCGTTGCAAC